GATACATTATTGAAAATTGTACATAAATGCTATGTAAATAAGGTCGTTATTCCACCGTCCTTAGCGAGGAACCCCAGGTGAACGGGTTTGCGTCAACGGTCACGCGACCCTCGGGGAACTTTCCGCCTGCGATCGACACGGGACACGTGATATGGCTTATAATGCGGCTAAATGCGATGCCCGCATAACTGCGAACCGTGCGGTTAAGCTTAAAGGTCATCGTCTCAAGTTGGTTTAATATAATTCTATTCAAGCAGCCCTCCAGTCAGGTGACCTGTCCATTCTAGTTATAATATTTATTATTCAGATTTTCAAAGTCAGTAGCAAACCAAGTACATTATTATATATTTGTACAAATTTCAATTCGCCATTTTTATAAAGAACTAACCAATTTTATCTCCATTATATTTTATTTTTACAATTCTTATATTAAATCGGACATTATTTGTTTTTTTCTATATAGCTCAGGTTGGATTAAGAAATTGTGTTATTAGTTTTCTTTACTTTAGAAAATTGTAAAAGTCATTGTTATACGGCTGACTGTATTTATTATGCTTCTTATCGTGAACGTCCAAATGTACGTAAGAATGTACGTCCCTTCAATAATTTTGAGATAGACGATTTATTTTATTGTTTAACGTGTTACAATGTTGTTGAATTTCTTATCACATATCGAATTATATATCATGCGCTATGAAATGTCAGACAAAGGAATGGGAGCATTTTCCCTAGTCATGACACGATTATCTTGTATTAATTTAAATTATATTTTGCCGATGTACTTTATGACAGAAATTATTTGATATTAGTTATCTTTATGTGAAACAAAACCGTTCTTTATATTACGTGTGCCATACGGAAAGTTCCTGGAACCGGCCAATTAAAAAAAAGCAATTATGGAATTCGAAAATGGAACTGTTTCGGAACACAGCATGACATTACTTTTTTAAAATTATAACAATATGGGAGTTTAAGTGATAAACATATTATAAAATAAATGGATTTTATAAAAATAATGGACGTTCCCTGGATAACGTTACTATTGCATTGTTAACTTTTGATAGTTAACAAGACATTATCACTCTTGCAGAATTACCGGATCTATGTTATGCACGTTAATCTTGTCAATGTATCACAGTGTATCTTTTTCATTTGTTAATCTTTTCACAAAATGTTTTCTTTGTCGATAAAATAACACAAAATGTTACAATGTTTGCATCGGACACTTTTTATATTCGAATCATCGTGATGAGACACCCGAATTGAATGGTTGAACGCGTGAATGGAAAATATCAGCGCGTGGATCAAATATTGTTCGGTCCCACAATAATTATGATAATGTGTGTTTACGTTCGCATCTTCAGTTATCACATCAGTACAGTAGTTTTAATAAATATACTACTGCGATTTAAGACGTATATCTCGCATATCTATACCAATAATACAGAATTATGCGTAAATATTTAATTTATCATCACATCATATTTATGATGAATATTATATCTTATTATATAGATAACGTGCTTGGTAAGAATGGAATTTTGTATACAGCGACGCCCTTCCACATCGTGTCAGAAATATTAATGTTTTATATGCAATACACGACAAAAATAGTAGTAAGAACCACACCGTATTTATGTGACGTCTTATACGATGAACTACATCCTAAATTTCAGCAGATACCTTAGCAGGCCCATTAGCTCAGTTGGTTAGAGCGTCGTGCTAATAACGCGAAGGTCGCGGGTTCGATCCCCTCATGGGCCACATCTTTTTTTTTTTAATATTTAGATTTATTATGTAAATTTATTTATTTTTTAATTAAATAGCAATATTTAGGTATATTAATTTACTTAATACCACAGAGCTAAACATTCCATAAAATCTTAGTACTAACTACATTTATAAAGATTTATATTTTCAACGTCCAATTCTTGTAATACGGCGTTTAATAAGAGGAACGTGAAAAATTTGTGATATTATGTATTAATCTGCTGTGAGCTATTTTTTGAAATCGACGGTAACGTCAAAGACAACGTTACAATGTGGACTATGGCGCCATCTAGTTTAGTTTTGATGAAAAGTACTATAACAATTTGAAAATTTAAACCAAAGAGAATGTAATCACTACGTTTAAACGGTATACGTTATTACGTTATTTAAACCGTAATTATAGTAACGAAATTAGTTAATGGTTTATTTATTTATTTAAAAAAAATATTGTTTACACCCCCCCAACTTAGGCTAAACAGAGGACTAACTTAATGCTATTAAGCATTCACATCAAGTCGACCCTCTAAGTAGAGAAAATTTGACGCAGGTGCAAAACAAAATACGCGAAATAAGTCTATACAAATATACTTTACACAAACATAAATACTATACACAGTAAATTATTAAATACATATGAATTCCAATACCTATACATAAAAACTGTATAATATATATATATATATGAATCTTTTCAGAATTTTTTATTATTTTTTATTGAAGTTTTTACCTAATAATAACTGCTTTCTTTAGCTTAGTAAATACTTAAATAAATGCTTAGTAAATACTTTTACTAAGCTAAAGCATTAATCATCTACGATTTCGTCTGCAATATACCTAGGTACAACCTAGATATTTTTTTAAAAAATTTGCGGATTACATAAGATAGCATATGACACGCAAATTTTTTCCACGGTTTACGTAGTCGCAATATCGACTTGAATCGGATCATTAATAAATGAAATTAGATTAATCTATCATCAAAGCACTAACGTTTTCTATCAACAAATATTTTATTGGAATACAGATCTGGTACACTATACAAATTAATGTCGACACGACGCACCGTCAGAATCCGACAGAACTGGCGAAAATATTTATTTGTATAATTAACGGGCATTACCAAAAACCGCGGGTCCTAATGGTGCGATCACGGGCACACGATCTCCTACCGGTTGAAGCCGGTTTCCGCGCGATGTAAATGTATTGTAGGCGTGCAATGTGCATTAACTGCAGAGGGCCTTGACTGCCTCACCTATTACGGTCGGTATTCCTCAATAATTTTAAGGGCAAAAATTTTAACATACCAACAGGCATGCGTCGATGTTTGAAATAAGGGAAATAACATATGTATATGATTTGCCGCATATAACTGAGCAGAGGGAATGAATAAGGCTGGGCAAAGAGGAGAACAGAAGAAGAGATAAGACAGAGAGTGTGACATGAGAGATACCGTTAATATAATAATAATTTTAGTTTTAGCAAGTTCTTAACTACTATTCTATTACAATCGATAAAGGTATAATAAAACACATTGCTAAAATAACATTAACTTGTTATATTATACATTCATTTATTCCACATATCTACAATAATTACAAGGATAGATACAGCATGAGATGATCGAAGAATACTTGTTTCAGAGCTATAATTAAAATAATATCATCAACATACAAACTATAATTAAATAATTTGAATGATATATGTACATTCATACAATGTTACAATACTATGAACAGTTAAAAAATATGCAATGTTATATTACAGTAGATAACATTGTGTCATATTTATATGCAACATTACATACTATACTTTTTAAGACAACCACATTGCACAAACACAAACAATGCTTACGTAATATAAAGGTCCTTGACCATTTACTTTGTATTACATATTCATTTAGATTTTTTTCTTGCTAAAAGCTAATATACAACAGATATTATATCCTTTAATACATGGTTTTATGATTTATGTGAATTGACAAAACTGTACACATTAGTCGGTACGGCTTCCTGCTGTATATAAAGCTTACCGCAAATACTTCAAATACTAAATAAACTCTCAGTGGGACAACACGTAGATCATGTAATGGTTATAGGCTAAGTTTTTTTTCAACATCCCATGCTGGCATGATGTCAACTATATTTGGATAGAATTATGATCCGGTTAAATATCTTTGGGTTATACAAATAGTTGTCCCATGTGGGAACTGAACCCACCACCTCCGGTGCTAAGGCCAATAGTTTAGGAACTGAAATAGATTCCATCGATACAACTGTCACATCACCATCCTCCTGCCCTAGTCAAGCTAGGTGGGGTTGGCACAACATGAGAATAATGTTGTAAGCGGTTTTGGCTACGTTTTCGACGACCCCCGAAGCTTGGGCATATAGTTTAGCAACCGCGCCACAGACTACGTTAGGGGGAATAATATATTGGTTTTCATACTACTTATTTATTTATAAATTGGCATACGTCTACATAAAAGTTGTAATGAAATTACAACCGAGACACTTATGGAAATATTATTTTTTTATAAAATGAAAACACTTGGCAAGGTTTGAATTTGAACAAGCATTTCATGAATGACATAAAATTACATAAAGCGGTATGGTTGAATATCTTATTCTCACTTAAAATAAATGTTATTCAATAACGTGTAGTATTCACGTCATATAAATAGTTATTACGTTAGCATTATTTTTGATGGAGAACAAATTCAATGAGCCTGCTACCGTTTATAGCAGTCAGGTAGCTTAATAGTAATTTTAGATGAGGACGGAAACAAGGTGGCAAACGAGCGGGCGGTTCACCTGATTTGTAGTGGTAACCGCTGCCCATTGACATTCGCAACACCCGTAGGGTCGCAGATGCGTTGCACCTTAAAATAAAGTGGGTGTCTCAATTTATGCGTTGATTTAATATTTATCCTTTATTAGTAACGAATATATCTTTATCAAGTTTCAAAGTTATTGAACTTATCGATTTCAAAATAGCACCCCTATGTCCTAACACAGATTTTTTTCACGCAACACTCCAATGCACACACATAGGTTCCATATTAACAACCAGTTAGGAGCCAGCAGTATTTCGCAGTAGCCAGCTCTGGCCAGGTATGTAGCTGTCCACCGTAGCCAATTGTCCCTCGAGTCCGTGTTCAGACAGCTACCTCCAGCGGTCAGACTCGACTGCTCTCAGACAGCAACTGTCAGCCAGCCGTGGCCAGCTGGCTAGCCGTCGATGACGAGCCAGCGCAGCGACTCGCGCGACATCTGCTGGCGCAGCAACGGAGTGCGCACCCTCAGCTGCACCTCGATGGAGCCTCCGGCAGGCCGCCGCCCCTCCATCAGCTGAAACGAAATGGGGACCCTGTTAAAACCGGAGTGGAACACCAAAGTGCTTGATGCTCAGTGTTATGCCAGACAGTGAATGTATATTCTGAGAATGGACAATAATGTGTGTATGAAGAATGGTATACAAGATGAGTTCACCTATTGCTTTCGCTGTTCTTTCAGGTTTCACACAAAAAAAACGATGCTGTGACGTATTCACAATCATTTCAACTAGAAGCAGCAGAAAATATGAATATTATCTTCCAAAGGAGCTAGTGGCATCCTGGCGTTAGTGCGTGATGTAAAACGAGACGAGCAAATAGGTTGCGAGCAATGTCTGCGATATTCGGCATAACAACATATTCAATATCTTAGTCGACAAGACAACGACAGTGGCGGCCGTCACTTTTCGGCAGCAACGGTATAAAATGCAAGTAATTTAGTGCCATAGCTGATTCCTATCGTTGCACACGGAACACTTATGTGACAATCCTAAAAATGAGCAAAACGGTTCACGCGTGTGGGGATCGAACCCACACCATCGGACACCGACTGGAATGCGAGTGGAAACTAGCCGACAGTGTTGATGCATAATGTTTAGGCAGTGGTGGTGGTGGTGGTAGTGGTGATGTTGGTGGTGGTGGTGGTGGGGTGCGACGACGTACCGGCAGCGCCTCGTGCAGCGTGACCGTCTCCTCGAGGGGGGCCAGCTTCACGGAGGCGGTGGCCAGCAGCGAGTCCCGGCTGAACCAGCCGCTGCAACACGTCGACAGGTCACACGCGGACGCACTGAGGCCGCGTTTGGTGTGGCGGGGCGGGGGACGGGGGACGGCAGGGGAGATGGGGGGGGGGAGGGGAGGCGACGAGCAGAGGGAAGGGGGGGGGGGGTCGGGTGGAGGGGATCGAAGGCGGCACGTCGACGTGTCACGAGAGGACGCACTGCGGTCGGGTCATAGAGGTGTGGTGGTAGGTGAGGGGGGGGGGTGTGATGGAGGGGGGGTTGGAGGGGTGCGGGGCGGGTGGAAGGAGGCACGCAAAGGTAGAAGGACGCGAAACGCGGCGACCTGTCTCGTGAAGGTCGCGGCGTTTCGTTTTCGTGGTTACGGCACTATATACGTGATGGCATAGATATTATGGCAATAACAGCTTCTGGCTCTAACGATTCGCGATCGACTGCTTTTGAACTGGTGTGTGCTGAGGTCTGCACACCACTCGAACCATATTGAAGTAGATCAGCGTGCAGTGGAAGTTATTGTTCTTTCGCGTTTCGTCTGGTGAGTGAGGTACGCGGCGGTGACTTTTTCAAAGTTATCAACGCGTCAGCAAGCCCTCAAGTGCGTATATTTCTATGGGCGGCGGCCTTCATCTAACATCAGATGAACCAACTAATCGTTAACACAATTTTTCACATAAAAAAAGGAATTTAGCTATATAAAGAACCGCCTGCCTATTTTCAACCCTCCTCGGAAACAAACATCCAGATCCGGAACAATTGTCTGTCAGAAATCTGTGGGCCGCACAAATACTTGTGTCGTAAGGGAATCGAACCCAAGACGTATGATGCCGTAGCCGTAGTAGTGGGAGTTAATAACTGCGTCTTCGTGTCATTATTCTAATTTAATAAATATTGATGCCCGCATGTCAACATGTATGATTGCCCAAATACGTACTATTAAAATCGTGGAAACGTATCCTTTAAGCTCTGTGTCCAATTAAGCTTTAGTATAGGGTGAAAGAAAAATATATAAAAATGATATTTACAATACGATGATGTGTTATTAATGGGAGAAGTTACTCCAACGTTATAACACTATCTCTTACATAGTCCTAATGTTCAACAATTTTTAGATTTGTCACAAGACGATGAGGTGGGTAATACAGCTGACCATAATATCAGGTTATACCCATTAAAACATGTAGAAAAAGTACGAAAAGATCGTCGCCGCTGTGGGAATCGAACCCACGTCTTCGGCATTCGCGGCCTGACGCTCTAGCCACTGAGCTAAACGGCTGATTGCCACAGCGACGAAAATCTTAATGTCCTTTATCTAGGTTATACCCAATCGGCATGGCAGAACCCACTCCCCAGACCCGTTCCAGTGCATCAACTCACCCTCTGGAGTACAGCTCGAACTTGAGGGCGTGGCGCTTGAAGACCCGAAGGCAGTTCCGTGCGGAGCGCTGGATGGGCAACTTGAACACCGCCTCGTAGCGAGGGTTGTTGGTGTCCTTCACGGTTTCCGTTCGCCCCGACTCCGGCGCCTCCTGCATCAACATCAACCACGTAATCATGGCCACGCAGCAGCCTCGGCTGTTGCACGAATGGGCAGGCCCGTCCGGGTAAGTACCACGACCTCACAGAAGACCAGCGTAAAGTGGAAGTATGACAAATACTTTCGCGTTTCGTCTGGTGAGTGAGGTGGCCGGAGCCCGATTTTCAAAGGGTTGCCAACGCATCTGGAACCCTCGGGTGCACCAGATGTCCATGGGCGGCGATATTCACTTAACATACGGTGGACCGCCTGCTCATTTGGCAACTTTTCAGATAAAAAAAAATTTTAAAAAATCCCGAGGGGTAGTAGATGCCTTGGCAACCTTTAACCACAGCTCGTCCCTATACCTCAACCACCAGATAAAACGCAAAAGTCGTACACTCCCACTTCACGTTGGTTGTAAGCCGTTTGGACTGTGGCCCAACCACAAACAGAGATTTTCATACAATAAATATATTACGACAATCTTATGAACAATGCGCTGAACATATATGACGTAATAATTTCTTATATATACAAATTCTTATCTTTTACAGCCGTGATAGCTCAGTGCCCGGGCGCTCGCCTTTAATTCAACATACTCGAGCAACATGAGTTCGATCCCCGGTGCCGGCACCAATGAAGTTTTTAACTTTAAGTGCTTACTAATCACGTACTGCGCGGTGAAGGAAAACATCGTGAGGAAACCTGCATATTTTCTAAATAATAACAAAAAAAATACTTCGAAGATATGTGAAGTCCGCCAATCGGCAGTGGGGCCGCGTGTTGGACTATGCCCGACACCCTCTGTACAGAGGAGGGCTTTGCCCAGCAGTGGGACATGTACAGGCTGCTACTCTAATACCTCTTACCGGCGGATAGGGGAACTCGAACTTGACATAGGTGTCGATGTCGTTGGGATTGGGAACGTTGTATGCGATCCCGCGGACGATCTTCAGTTCCAGCTCGTTCTCGTTAAGGTCCGGGTTGACTTGCAGCACGGCGAACTCGCGATTCTCATAGTGGAACTTGGGGTGGTTTTGCCCTATGCTGGAATAAACGATGTCGGACATATTTTTTTTTTATGTGAATAATCGCCAAACGAGCGGACGGTTCACCTGATGTTAAGTGAATACCGCCGCCCATGGACTTCTGCTACACCCGAGGGTTTGCAGATGCGTTGACGACCTTTTTGGAAATTGGGCTCCGGCTACCCTACTCACCGGTCGAAACGCGAAAGTATTTGTCATACTTTCCACTTTACGCTGGTCTTCTGTGAGGTCGTGGTACTTACCCGGACGGGCCTGCCCATTCGTGCAACAGCCGGGGCTGCTGCGTGGCTCTACCATCGTTGTTGAAAAACATTGACCAAACTTAATACTATATTTTAATAATAACGGTACAAAACTCTCCAAAGCAAGACTTTAGGTGCAGTTTTTTTTTCCGTTCTTGTATTTAAAACGTTGCCCTAACTTTAGGATAACATTATCCTGTGCTGTAAGGACGTGTTACAAACATAAATTTCACGCGGACAAACACCCAAATGCGAAACAACTATCTGCGGGTCACACAAATAGTTGTAGCGTGTGGGAATCGAACCCACGCCCCCCGACGCCGAAGACAATACCCTGGGCAACTGCGCCATCGAGTCATCAAGGCAAGTTTAGGTACAGTATTATTCTTGACAATTAAATCTTATACAATTTGCTATAAAGGATACAGAGCTCTTCTTTGCTCTGTGCCAAAATAAACATTGTAGAACACATTAACCGACCTTAATAATATATGATACGGAGCTTTTCAAAGCAAGTCTTTAGATATAATTTAATACTTTGGTTTTACTTGACAGTTAAATATTTTACCATTTTATAAGCAGATGTCATTAAGTATTGCTTTTGTATGGAACTAATTTCTTCATGTCTGTCACAATCTAGCCTCTATTCTATCTTGTTAATGATCACATGTAAAAATGAAATCTTGTAAATATTAGATCAAAATGAAATCATCATGTAGTATCCTCTATTAGTTTTTGGCGTTGAGTAAAACAGTAAGTCAAACAGACAGATCACCAGCCCAACTCAGCGTCTTCTTGAATCGAGGACAAGAAAGACAGATTACCAACTATACTAGCTAGTGGTTTATAGCGATGAGTTCATAGCTTCCGGGTCTTGCTCATCATGAGACCATAGTCTCTAGGAAGGGGATCTTCAGTACCACCAGACAGGTTTTAGTGGGTACGAACCACCAAGGCTCATTCCCACTAAATCCCTTCAGGGCTGTCTTAAAGCTGAGCCATCTATGGTCTTTTTTAAAGGCGGGCATTTTCAATAGGCAGGTACCTACGGTAAGACAACTATGGTGGGGCCACTAATCACATCCAAATAAGCATCTTCAGGGCAGCGAAGCGCTTGCAGCTCACCTCTTGGCGATGAGCACCACTTCCAGGTCGCGCTTGACGCTGGCGGCGAGCTGGTCGAAGCGCTCCGCCTCCGCCACGTGGCCGATCGCGTGGCAGCGGTCGCGGAGCGAGTGGCAGCGCCTCAGCTGCTCCGCCAGCCGCCGCTGCAACAGCGCTGCCACGTCGCCGCCGGTGGCAGGTTCCACGTCCGGGTCGCACTCCTCCTTCGAGATCACGTCGAACCTGCGTCGAGGTGGTTGCAGTGGCAGTTGGTGGTAAACATGGTCGGAATGGCTATCCAGTGGCAGCCGTAAACTTCTGCGATGAGCATTGGCTTTACGATTTCGCTAAGGTGCGTCACGATTTTATGGGCCGTGACCGTCTCGTAAAATTAGTCGTTACTACTATTCGATAGCATCCGTGCACTTTTCCGCGTCCGATCCGATCCATATATATGATCGGCTTGTGTCGCTTTTCGGCCGTTGAAATGGATAGTTATGTCTATGCACGGAATCATGAGGTTACTATGGGAATGAACAATGAGCCATATAACTAAAGGATTGAAGATAAACCGACAAACGCCCAATAGCTTTTATGTTACTAGAAATGGTAAGTTACCATCGTCATCGTTCATCAGATGAACCAAATAAGGGACGTCTTTTTGTTTGAGAACCAACCCAAACTGTAAACCGCCGCTTATGGACATTTGCAACACCCGTAGGGTTTCTACACGCCTGTCTTTTGTAAGCGGTACTTCCCCGGACGGGCCTGCCCACCCGTGCCACAGGCCAGACCGTTGCGTGGCGCCGCCACACTCGAAGCGGAGAGGACGTACGTGTTCCCCTCCAGCCTCCTGGCGCTGGGCGGCCTCGGCAGCGAATCCAGGTCCACCAGCAGCCCGCCCCTGGCCGCCTCCAGCAGCGGCTCGAAGCCCTTGGCGGCGCGGAGGCACTCCTTGGCCAGGTCCATGTCGCCTGGTGGAAATCACAACAGAGTTCAAATTTCAAATTCCAATTAATATTCAGCTTAGCGTTTAAAGCGTCAGGCCGCGAATGCTAAAGACGTGGGTCCGTTTCCCAAAGCGGCTACAATCTTTTCGTACTTTTTCTACATATTTTAATGTTCAAATATATTTATTCAGTATAGAAGCGTTAGTTACACTTAGTTATTGATTGTCAAAAAACGCTACTATCGATTCGGGAAAAAAGCCACCTGACCTAACACGAACCGGCGAAAGAAACTCAGTGGAACAGTTTAAATCATCGTCATGATCATCATTACAGCTTGTAAGAGTCCTCCCTCTATGGAACATACCCACTTCCGCCACACAGTGTATGAGCCCACTGTCGAAAATCCTCCAATCCAAATAACACTTATATATCTGATCTTATAGATCTGAAGCACATCAATGCAACAGTCAAGTTAAAGAGGAAAGTTCAAAAACACTCGATTTCTAAACAACCCATATTTATCAAATAATTATCGATGAAAACTTATGTACCATAGAAACTGATGACTAATGCCCGGTTCCTATATTCAACAAACGGCCGTTAGTTACATAACTTCGTAACTTTCATAACGACTCCTTGTTACGACTTCATAACGACTATGTAACTAACGGCCGTTCGTTGAACATAGGCAACGGGCATAAGTAGCGCAGTTGCCAATGTATGGGTGGGTTCGATTCCCGCACGGTACAATAATTTGTGTGTCACACACGTAACTGTTTTGGATCTGGGTGTTTGTCCACGTGAAACTTATACATAAGTTAAAACGTCCTTACAACACAGTTCAATTTTATCCTAGAGTAAAGGCAATGTTTATAAAGAAATAGAACAAGTAGACCGTAAAATGACTAAGTTGTAAAACGACCACACCTTTCCTCTTGGCGGTGAGGGCGGCTTCTTTGAACTCCTTCTGCTTGTGCATGAGCAGCGCCAGCTGGCGCTCGTACCGGCCGCGTGGTGCGGCGGAGGGGGCGGAGGGGGAGGCGGGGGAGGGGGCGGCCGGAGGGGCGGCGCTACGGCGGGGCGGCGCCGGCGTGGAGGGGCCGGGGGCGGGGGCGGAGGCGGCGGGGCCAGAGCCCTGGAAACAAAATGAGGAATAGTGTTGAGCCGACAGCTTTTCGACTGTCGTCATTTTTTTTGACTGCCAGCCACTGGCCAGCAGCATGTTTGTCTTGTGGTCGATCGTGGAGCAGTCGTAAGCAAGTCGTAGACTAGTCGTGGACTATTCGTCGTCTGTTACTCGGCTAAGCGCTAGCCAGTCGTCGCCTAGTCGTTGTGTAGTATTCGACCGCTCGAAACTTAGTCGTTGACCAGTCGACATGTAGTCATCGGCCAGTCGTCTTATCATAACAGTCGGCATAGAATCTGAAAGTAGTCTTCAAATCGTCAAGCAGTAGTCGTCGCCTAATCTGGACATAGTAGTCGTAATAAAATCGTCATGTAGTCGTCGGCCAGTCGTCGCCTAATCTTAACGCAATGATGTCGTCATATAAATCGTGTAGCATTCATCGTCGAATCGTCAAGTGGTCGTCTCGCGGTCGTCGGCCAGTCGTCACGCAGTCGTCGCGTCGCGCGCACCTGGGCGGGCAGCGGTCCGTATCCGGGCGGCGCGGGCAGCTCGTCGAGCGGCGGCGCCTTGCCGGCGGCGAGCGCGCGCCCCGCGTCGCGGTACTGCTGCGCCACGCGCCCCAGGCGGCGCGCCTTCGCCGCGTTGCCCTGCTCCTTGGCCCTCGCCGCCAGCTCCTGTCGACCGTCATGTATCCCTTTTTTTTTAATCACGAAGTGTAACAGGCCAGTACGTAAGCTTTGACGCGTTTGAGAATGACGATGGGAGTGAATTTTGTGTGTTTACGTTGCGCGACACCAACGTATTGTGTCACCGTGGCGGCCGGTAACTACTCTATGATGTTTACATAATATAGAGGTTCAGGCTAGGCCAGGCCACCTCGAGTCCCTCAAAAAGATAAAAAATCCAATATAATTGCAAAATATTTAATTAAACCGTTACCTATCGATTGCATTAGTTTTGTTTTTTTTATCAAACAAAGACTACTGGCACACTGGATAACCTTTTTCTTTTATCACGCTAAAGTATACCTTATTACTTGCGTACATAAGTACACACACGCGTTTTGTTTTTTTAATTATTATTATTATTACATTACGGATTACTTTTCCGTATAAATTAAAAAGTTCGCGTTACCTCGAAAGCTGCGAGTCTCTGTTGCAGCGCCTCCTCGAGGGTGGAAGCCATGATCAAGCCCGCCGGCTCGGGCGTCGCTTCGGGCGCGGGCTCAGGGGGGTTGTCTGTAACAAATGTAGCACAATCTAAAGTTACATGTGCAAAGTAAAAGACACCATCGACGTTCAAGTGTACATCTGATATCAATCGGGCGGAGCAAGGAGGTCGATATCGTAACGTGCACCGATCGTAAGGTCAGATTGGGTCACAGTCACAGTAGTTTTTGAGTTCATCTTTAAAACGTATAAACACCGTCTCAGTCATAATTCCCATAAAATTGTCACTTTGTAGATGTCGTATCAACATGCTCGATAATATATCGATATCGATTTTCTCTTTAGGTCCTAGTTAACCCGTTGTCCTTAAATAAAGTATGTTAAGTATTAAATATTTGGCACTTACTTTATGCCGCATTTGAATTTGAAAAAATATCGTTTTGATACGATTTTAGATAATTAATAGTTTGTCGATATATATCGATATATCGGATCCAATAATATCGACTGAAAATATCGATGTATACAATGAAAAATATCGATATATCGATATTGTTTCGACATCTCTAGTCGATAGGCTCACCGGTGGAGCTCTGCGCTGCCGCCTCCACCCTCTGCTGAGACTTGAAGCCGGCTGCGATCGCCTCGGGGGTGGGCAGCTCACTCAGGTCCATCTCCTCACCGGCTTTGTACGCCTCCACCACCAGGTCGAACTGCTTGACCACCTTCAGGTGCTCCAGTGCCAAGGCTTTGTCGCCGGCGTGCTTGCACGAGAGGGCGGCCGCCTTAAATTCCTCCTTGCGCTCTGAGAACATCGAATTATATGAATAAGCAATAAGACAGCTACATATGCATATAAGTATAATAGAAAAACAAATTAAAACCAATAAACAGGCAAACTCTCCCATCTTTTGCAGTAAATTAAACATTCTTCACTTTATAAGGTTGGGCATAAGACAAGACTTTCTGAAACATTTCAATCCCATTACTAGTCCTACATGGACGAACTCCCGGGCATAATCTAGTATATTATAGACTTCAATAGATCTTCTTGGTGACAGTGGTCGTTGTGATTTACCAAAGCCCTTCCACACAGATCATAAGCTAGTATTATGTGTGGTGAGACCACGAAACGGTTTTCACTGTTGCGCGAATGGACAGGTTCGTTCTGTTAAGTTCCACGACCTCACAGAAGACCGACGTCTGTATGTCGTCTCGTCTGGTGCGTGAGGTATCCGGGGTCTACTTTATTAAAAGCGGGCAATCCATTTACAACCCTACGGGTGTTGCACATGCCGTTGGGCTGAAGTTATAGCGTCAGGTGAACCGCCAACTTGTCACATAAAAAAAAACCGTAGCAATAAAATCATCTCACTCAAGATAATCTGCAGGCCCTGCTGCCTCTCCTCGCTGAGGCCTTGCGACTCGACCCTGGGCGGGGGCGGAGGCGGCAGCTCCGGTTGGGGCGCGGGGGGCTCCGGGGGCTCCGATGGCAGCTCCAGCGGGGGCTCCGCCGGCGTCTCCTGCGGGGGCTCCGCTGGCGGCGCGCTGGGGCTGGTCTGCTCGGCACCAGGCTTGCCCAGGCTGACCGGCGGCGGGATATCCTCCTCCCTGACCGGTCTCCCCGTCTTCGCCTGCTTCAGCAGGTCGTTGAGAGTCCTCAAGCCCCGACCGAACCTGTCGACGTTGAAGTTCGACGTTAGGAAGAAAACAAAGTGATATATTATATTTTTACTACCTGGCCCGCGCAACTTCTTCTGCGCCAATTCTGCCGGGTCCACACGTTTTTACTTTTAGCATAGCGCCATCTAACGGATACTTACTCAATCCAGCCGATAAATTTATCTTACACCGCCATCTGTTAGAATCTTATGGGACTCACAGATAGCTCTTTGTTATCTTATAAAATAATTAATTAAGTTAATACAAAATAATTAGCAATAACAAATATGAGATCAATAATTGAGATAAAAACTGGCCTATCTCCCAAGTTGGACCAAATTACAAATGCTTACAAAATTTGATAAAAATTGGTTCAGTAGTTTCGGAGTTTATCGCGAACATACATCGTGACACGAAATTTTTTATATAGATGTAGTAAACTTTGATGTTGCGTCGACAAAATAATATGAAAATTAGTTTAAATTTATCGTGAGCTGATCTCTAATAAAATATTTAAGGAATACATAATCCTTAAAATCCTCATCTCAGGAAGTGGTTGCAAATTAAATTGGACAATTTCTTTTATTGATGTTATACCCTATGAACTTAACGAGATCATGGTCATTTTAAAGTTTTGACATTTAATAAAATGCGTTTAAACTATTAAGAGTTCAAACAAAAAAGGTAAAGAATAAATATTTAAATAAAACTAACAAAATGGGTAATATACATATGACTATGATCAAATATGATGAAAGAAAATAAAAATGTTTTTTTGTTAATTCAATAGTGGTTAAATAACAAAACTTACCGATGAAAAGTGATCTTGGTGTTATTGTACGGATTTCTCCATATAATTACGACACAATTTGACAGCACAAACCGACATGGTTAAGTATTATTCGTATGCACGTTAACCATAAGTGATTCAAACGACACTGACATATGTGAGAAATGAGTCTAGCAATTTTAGTAGACTTTATTTCCGCCGTGTGTTAAGGATAATTGTGACATCAAGACAATTGTATAATCAAAGCATAAAAATTGGTACCTTCTCGCTCGACTGCTTTCCCCACTTTCCTTTGCGCTCTTCTCTGCTGCGGTGTAATTGGTGATCCTGTCTTGTAGCAGGCTGATGAGGCTGCTCGCTGCACTGCCGGGGGGAGGTGGGGCGGGGCGGGAGGTGCGCGGGGGAGGGGCTGGGGCTTCATCGTCTTCGATAGCAAGCTCTTTAAGCTCGTTTAGTAAGTCTGGATCATCGTCGTCCCCTGCAATGAAATAGTGATTTTATAGAGAATATTTTGCAGTAGTTTCTGTTGGTGCATGATTGTTCCTGGTCTATACCATTAATTACGAAGGCCAATCAGTGACAATTTATTAAGTGAATAAAAGGATGTGTATGAAGAAGTTGATACAACATGTGCTACTGTCTCTTAATACCTTTATAGAACAACACAACACTGAACTGTATATTATAATTCTGTATAATAATCAATAAAATGATAGAGGTTATGTATATGGTTGGGCTGCTGTTATGTACATGGTGTGTTTCTGTGTAAGATAAAACCCATTTTCTATCTTTATAAACAAAATTCTACACATTTGCAACACAGAAGAACTAATTGATGTATTTCAATTCGTTCTTGTAATTTTTTTTTTCTCAGACACTTAGCCCTTACCTTAAATAAAATATTTTGGTATCTTCATTTAATATAAAGTTATTAAAGTTTTACGAAACAACAATTTTTATAAGTTATATGTGTCTTTTCTACTTGTATGATTGATATTTTAATAAGAAACACAGATTAAGTCGCGGGTTTAGCTAGTACCAGCTAGTTAAATAAATAAAACATAAAAAACTAAAGTATAAAGTACTTTTTAATATAGAAGGCAAACATGGTTACACACATATTATATTATCACACTATAATAATTGAGGCAAAGGTTTGTGTGTATGTTCAGGAGCAGAATCTGTTGATGAAGGATTTCAATGAAACTTTTATTTGGAAATTGCTTTGCTAGGACATATACTATATTCCAACTCTGCGTCAGATGAAGCTTTAATAGTTTCGGGACTGAAAGCAAAAACATCAGTTAATACAAGATATCCCAACAAAGCTAGGATATTTATTTGATAGCTTTTTAAACTTAGATTTATATGGGATACCTATATATTTTTACTGATAGTATTGATACTGAGAATATTGATGATGACTGGATGGTGCCATTACTAAGCCATTGGCTTCGGCTTCGGGAGTCGTGCATTCGATTACCACTTGGGACAAATATTTGTGTCATCCACAAATAATTCTTCCGGGTCTGGGTGTTTCTTTCCCAAGGAAGGTTGAGGACAGGGAGGCTGGTCGAAAAAAAACATAGCCAAAATCACTTATAACATGATGCATTTTGTGCCAATCCCACCTAGTTGGGATAGCGGCAGATTGATGATGAATGATTGCATGATGATTAAGAACATGAATAGATTTTAATAGTTTGTTCTGAATTTAAAAGCATTTTGTTGCTACATATTGTTAAGCTGAAATAATAAAATTTTTAATCTAATCCCAATGTTACATTTTACCTGATCCCTCATCATCAGATGGTATGTCTTTTAAGCTTGCTGCAATCATTGCATCAAGATTAGCTGCTGGTGCAGGTGCAGGTTTCTTAGGTCTTTGCCGTCCACCACCACCGCCGCTTATTGCAGCTAACTCAGCTTCCAGATCAAAGTCATCATCAGACAAATTGAGTTGCTCGTCCCCATCATCAAAATCAGGAATATCCAAAAGTCCAAACTAAAACGAAATAGGGATATAAAATTTTAATTTGTATGCATTAGTTAAGCTATGCTTGGGATTTATCTGAGTGACAGAGGAATGTAGATATCCTCACCAGAGCTTTGATTGGTAAACTATACTGGCAATGAGCAATAATGGTGATAATGATGATGCATTAATATTTATAAATTATTCTTTTGGTAGGTGTATTAAAAGAGGAGGTTGCCAGTTTACCTTTTACATATCTATAATCTATAGAAAAACTAAGTAAAACAATAATAATTTATTTACTATAAAATGATAAAAAAAGATAAGCGTAAAATTTGTTCTGTGAGATTCTGTAGTTGTGTGGTTCTTTGCATGTTATCAGAATGTGGATCAGTATGTATTTATTTAGCACCAGGGTATAAATGTATTTTGTTATAAAACTTCCTTTATAGACCTTTAAATTTTCATTAAAAAAAAATTCCAGTAAAGAAAAGCCGTAAATGAAATAATCATCAATTAGAATTCTCCGGTAGCTTAGTTTTCGAGAAAAAAACAATTTAAAACTTGTTATTTTCACTAGAGAAAACCGCCATCATAAGCCATATTAAAAAAAAGCTTTTAAAAATACTAAAACTACTGCACTGACGTTCTGGGTGGTCATAAAAAAAACCACGAAGGCTAAGGCTCTGCTTCAGCCTTAACCTTCTAACCTAATCTATCCGTGTCGGATTGCTCTGTCTCCGATCTGTGACTCATTAAATTTTTCAAAAAATTGAAATAAAATTGTTTTAAAATCGATACGAGTATGATGTCCCTCGCTTCCTATATTATATTTATCATGTTGGCAGTTATGTGTATTGAGTTTTTGAAGTCAAATTAGTAAAATGGCGGACTTTGTTAGTGAAAATAACTAATTTAAAGTTTTAAATTTTTTTTTTCTCAAAAACTACGTTTTTCCGCACGTTGAAACTTTGCGTGTGTGCTTATAATAATGTTACCTTTCTGTAAAAAAAATATCAACCCGCAACTCGACAGACATCAATGCAAAGCTGATCCCATTGCTCTACTTTTTTTGTTATACAGCGTGTCGTTACCATCGCGACAGTAAATGAACACACGTCTAACGCTACTTGCCAATAATCATAAAAAAATATTAACGTTAAACAAAATCAATAATTTAAAAAAAAAATTTTTCAGACAAACAAATTAAGTAAAAAAAGATACAAAATTTGTAACATCCTATACAACTCGCGCCACAGCGTCGTATTAGAAGCCTCTCTTTCTAACAGTATGTTTTTTCTCTTTTAAATTCATTCAACCCATTCATATGCTTTGTGATCTTTACGTTACGCTTTTATAGGTAAGGCTGTTCTAAAATTCTTTGTTTTGGAAAATTTAATAACTTTGTAAATATTGATGTTTAAAGAATTTAAATGTTTAGTACAACTTTAAAAAGTTATCCCCTATATGTGTGTTCTTTTATTGTCGCAATGGTAAAGACACGGTGTATAGTGAAATAAGATACCAATATAAGAAAACTCAGTATAAACTACGACTTTAACATACAATGAGTACCTAATATCTTTTTATTCAAACAGTACAATACATATTTATCTTCTTTCAAAATCAGCTGATTAAAAGTGTATGAACAACATCCACAAACATTTTGTTTATATATAATTTAATAAACAATTTCATGGATTGTAAGTTAAGGAACTAATCATGAAACAAAAAGAAACTTTATGAGTGAAACAAACGTTCAAACAAACATAATTAATGACTCACTTGAGACAAATTTGACTTTTTTCCACTATTATTTTTCCTCGACATTCTTTTAGAAAACGGTATTAATACACCATGTATCTTAAAAAATGAGTCTTAACAGTGCAATTTTAATGCTAATTGCTGTTTTATAATTTTTTCAATATTTTACTTTTGTTCTTGTATTGTCAACAATGACAGAATATAAATAAAAGTACTCTTTGGACAGAATGCAGATCATGATATGACAGATTGACAGCCAGCAAATTATTGTTACACTCATTCATTGTCATAGCACAAGTTAGACCAAAAACGGCATATCCAAAAATTTGCTGTCCGTGAACTACTTATTTTCATAAATCTAACGCGCACGTAAACTATTAATTTTCATGTTTATATACGCCGGAAAAAAACAAAACACTTTGTACTCCAAAAACTTCTTCATACAAACACCAACATATTGAATAATGACTATGATTTGAATACTAGTAATACTGATAGAGAGAATAAAAAATAATTTTTAGTCTGTTCTAACTGTGGTAAGAGTGACGTATGAACAGCCGAAACGAAAACGAAAGAAAAGCCCTCAGTGCCGTTGTTATCTTCTAAAATTTCTGAAGAATGGAGACAAACGGCCAGGCGAATGGGCTTAAATCCAGAAAGAAAGAGAACGGCGATGGAAAGGATAATTTATGGTAAAGGATAATTGTTATTTTACGAGTAACATACAGCATCCATATAGGGTATCCAATGTGTCACACCTACGTGATGTCAAGATTCATACCTGAGAAATATGTGACCTAGCTGCGACGATCACCTTTGTCTGTTAAATAACCGTACAATTTTCACAATAACAACACAGCTTTCCATTCATACACATGCGGTCGTCTCGTTGTGTAAAAATACTACGTCGTCGTCGATGCCTTAACGGTTACTGTCTTTTGCAGGTCTGCTATTTTAGAAGAAGTTCAAAATCAGGGTAACACGAAACTACCTTCAAATAAGAATGTGCTAGTATTGGGAGATAATGAAACTGGCAAAACTACACTCATAGCAAAATTACAAGGTGTTGAGGATCCCAAGAAGGGATCGGCACTTGAATATGCGTATATAGATGTAAGAGATGAATATCGTGACGGTAAGTTATTTTCCATGTATTGTACATTGTACCTGGTAATTTTAATTAAATTTGCAAAGCAACATATCAGTTAGTTTAGTGCTCCGTTTGTTTACATGTAGTAAAAATAAATAACAATTTTTTTATCATATCAGCAACATTATTAGTGGTATTATATTATAGTTTCTTTCTGCTATAGATTCAGCTGCAGCTAGATTGTAAATTCAACAATTTGAAAACAGTACATTGTTCCTAATATTAATAAAATTATTGTAAGTTTTTAAATAATGATATTGTATTGTTGTCTAGTCTATGTCTATAAGTCTCTAAGAATTTTTGTACCTTTTTTTCAGATAACCTTATCATATAAATAGATTTGCTTTGATTTATGTATTGTAATTAATAATTATTTTGATAGAAATTGCCTTAATCTCTGTTTGAAGCAACAAAATTTTTACTCCCTTGGAAAGAATCCAAACACCATGTTTCTGCGTAAAAGTTAACTGGTTTCCCATTTATTGTTTCTTTTAGATCACACAAGGCTTAGTGTTTGGGTCCTTGATGGAGATCCAGGGCACACAAATCTGCTCAAGTTTGCACTCAACGAAGACACATTCCCACATACCCTTGTTCTACTCACAGTGGCTATGACCACTCCATGGGGTATACTAGATCAACTACAAAGTTGGGCCTCTGTGCTCGGCGATCACATAGATAAATTAGATCTCAGCCCTGGTGAGTGAAGTATATTTTTTTTGCAGAATTATTTCATTATGCACACCTTAAGGCATAAAAACTAATACTTGATTAAGTATGTTTTAGTACTTTACTAAATATGTTATTTTAGAGAATTATATGATATCTGTTAAAAATTTGTTAGTTATGTAATGTTATAAACATATAGCAGATTTTATTTGTCCGAGTCATGAATATTTTAAGCCTCAACCAATTGTATTTGATTTGACATATAAAGTGTCTTGTTCGCTTTGCTCTTCTGATAAGAAATAATTAATTATAATTATGTAAGCATAGCTCCTGGTTCTCTAATAACAACTTAATGACGGTAACAGACAGAGAAAGTTCTATAGATATGAGCTTATTATGTCGTAAAATATGTAGTAAGCATGACTGGATACATTTTCTGTAATAGTGCACTTAAAAATTATAAAATTGCCTAGATGCTTTGATTTTGTGTTACTTCTAGCATTTACCCAAAGCCTCTGCATGTTATTTGAAATGTCTTTCAGTATTATATATTAAACATAAAATGAGTAAAACAAAATAATCCATGCTATCCTTGATTTTTTTAAATGTAACTAATTTACGGTTTTTCTTGTTTAATTACCAGGCTTTATACAGTCAGTCCCTAGAACATGTACTCATTAAAAATATATGTTCAAATTGTTGGGAGTTAAAACATTTGCTACAGTTGGGTTAAGCAACACTTTCTGCTGTTGCACTTATGAGCAAGCTTGTCCGTGAAAGGACCATAGCCTCACAGAAGACCAGTGTGAAGTGGAAGCATTATACTTTCGCTTTTCGACTGGTGAGTGATGTAGCCAGAGCTCACTTTCCTAAAGGTTGTCAATATGCCTGCAAGCCGAAGTGAAGCCGTGTAGAAATTGAGGAGTGGTGTTAATACTTAAAATTAAATGTGAAAAAAGCCATAAACTATTTTTACCCCAGATCATGTCAAGTCTTGAATGTAATTAATATATTTACTCTTCAAGTTATATTTGATTTTTATCTGTATGCTAATCTCTGTTTTTGTTAGATTAGTAATTGTTAGTACTAGGTGCTTGTGCACATGGTAACTCAAATCTGATTATGTCGGTTTATGAATTATTTTTATACTTAAAATTAGCAGCCGTATGAATACTAATCAATATGGACACTGCAATAATAATATTCAGATAATGCCTAATGGTCTGATTTTTGTACTTTAATTTAAAAAAATATATTTTTATTATTGCCACTAATAATCAGCAATAATCTAAGGCTCTAATGGCAATAATAAGGCTCAACAATTATAATGTATAGTGCATGAAATTTATAAAGTTTAGACTTCAGATATTCATTGAGAGAGAAAGAGATCAGGTTATTTATTAATTTTTAAATAATTTTTAACACTAACAGTGCATTACATTAGTACAATAAAAGTGAGAATGCATTTTTGCTCTTTTTGTGGGCATTTACAAGAAAAAAAATCAATGATCACTAAAATGATAATTTATTATTCATATTTCGATTTTTTAGATATTACCAGATAATATAAATTTGAAATAGCCTTAATTAATGTGAAACTTATATACGCCTACCATCTATATAACTGAGAGTAGAAAATCCTAAATGGCGTGAAAATTTACTATATGTCATAACTATATACCCAGATAACACTATAGACACAGATAACATTTTAAAATCAATCTAAAATATCGTCTGAGATTGATTTTATATATCACGGGGCTTATATATTAATTATAGTGCCCCCTTCTCCTAGCCTTTTAAAAACATAATTAATTTTAGCTCTAAAAAGCACAGACTGATTGACATTGACTATAGAGATAGTACTATAGGGTACCCTGTTGGGTAAATAGAGATGTACCCTGTTAGATCTTTAACAGCGCAAGTTAATTGTTATTATTATTTTTTTCATAAAAACTATGTCTTCAATGATGAAGAAAGTGCAACTAATTTGTTATGTGGTATTTTTATTTTAAAAAAAAACTACTTTTTGAAGTGGGAATTGAACCCACGACCCCCGACACCGAACCCAATAGCTTAGCAACGGCGCCACTCACTCAACACTATGTCATATATGTAATATTATTAAAATACAGTGTCCATGAAAACTATTTCTCAATTACTATTCTAATGCAGTCAAATTAGGTGTCCGCGAAAAATAAGTGAAATAGTTATTATTTTAGTGGCCAGGTTTTTATAATTAATATAATGTATGCTTGTTTACGTTATATTTTCTAAGCTCGTCTATTTGAATTTATTCATCAGAAATCCCCGACCGCCGTCAATACATCCGCAATTCGTGTCATTCGATAAACGATTTTAAATATAGGGTTATTGGATTCGAAATTGTTTGTGGTTTACTGCAACATTCATAGTGCACGAGTAGAATGTTAAGGTCCCCCCATAACGTGTTTATTACACGATGGTGACTCACTTATTACGTCAGCTCTTTCTTATTACTTAATCAGTGCCACTATATGGTAAAATCAGCAGGTTCTATTAATTTACGACTAACGATTCAGTTCCTATAAATAAACATAGCAAAATCGCCTCCGATGATCGTTTGAACGGATTTTATTTATATACTTGTTTCGATTATAATTTAATTTGTCATTGAATTAAAAGTCGTAAATATACGACAGTCGATCGGCAATTAACTACCTTCTTTCTTAAACAAAACATACCTAAATTTCTTGAAAAAATTTGATATATCATCAGTACGGAAAATTTAAAATTCATTGAAACTCAACCTGCAGTTTGTTTAGCTGTTGCATATAACTTTTTCTTGAAAAACGAATTGAAAAAACGTTATTCTCTACTCCGTACTAGTACGTTTAAAAATACGGCGAGCTATGCTCAAACTAGATATTATCTGTGTATGCCATGAATTACAATAAATGCTGTACTAATTATTTTATGTATTTTGTCAATCTCAGATTAACCAATAATTATTTATCTAAATGTCATACAACTAAGCCGTGGTCATACAACGAGTGTACGGCACTCGTTTTTAATTTAATATACTCAATAAACCCGTGTTCGTATCCCGGCCCGGCAAGAATGAAGTTTTTAAAAATTTTAAGTGCTAACTCTTCCATCACTACCTCAACGGTGAAGGGAAAAAAGAAACCTGCATATTTTCGAAATAATAATAATTAAAAAAAATATTTGGAAGGTATTATAAAATAGTTAATTCAGCATGATGCAAAATGTAATATCTCTATAAAACGTATTTTTAAAAGATACTATATCGTACTATTCATTATAATGGTTCTTATTCACACTAATTTTGCTTGAAAAGTATCTAAAGCTGAAATGAAAGTAAAGACGATTGAAGTCTAAATCCAACATACATTTCGGTGCTCGAATGTAGGTGAACGGTGCTCCGTTGTAATAAATTCGTGAAAGTACGTAAGTCGGCACGGGGAATACATCTCTACAAAATTCTTAGCGAAATATCAAATTTAACCAACATCGCTGGAGAAATTATAAATTTAACAAGTGTTTATAATATATGTATAGTGCGTGATTTTGTCACATCGGTACCGGAGATCTCACTGTTTGTACAAAATCAATCTTTTTTAATCTCACAAAACGATCTTTTCATATCTCTCTTCATACTATACTCGCTTTATAAGTCTGCGTCACGACGCACACCTGTCGCCATTCACCGGTCACTATGATATCGAGAACACCTCAGCGACAATTTCTTTCATAACAGAGCCTTCGCAGCTGTTCGGCCGCTTAATTTGGTACACTCCGGCAGCTGTAATTTAAATCGTGTGCCATAACAAATAAAATTGTTAGTTGCAATTTTAAGTGTTGACTTATCACGTGGTGATCGATCGTTGAATGAAAACATCATAAAAAAACTGCATGTCGATTCCAATAAATACGTAATAATTTCGAACAAAAAAAAACCGACTTCAAACAGGAAACTAAAAACATTGTCAACATCTATAACATTTGAGGATTGACCTCGATTTCTCTGGGATGCCATCATCAGATCTGGGTTTCCTTATCATGTTACCACGCTTGGGATATCTTCTTTGCAACAAAAAAAGAATCATCAAAATCGGTTTATAAATGACGAAGTTATCCCCGAACACACATAAAAAAATAAAAATATATACGGTCGAATTGAGAAACCTCCTCCTTTTTTGAAGACGGTTAAAAATAGCCCAGTTATCAAAAGGTTGTCAACGCATCTGGAACCCTCCGGTGTAGCAGATGTCCATGGGCGGCGGTATTCACTTAACATCAGGTCAACCGTCTGCTCGCTTGGCAGCTTTTCCACATAAAAAAATAACTATCATTTCAAGTAGTGGGACTCGAATCCACAGCCTCTAGCGTAAGAGACAGTTTCTCCACTATACCAATCGGGTCATCAATTGAATTTTCTTTATACGTGTATTTTATTTTGAAATATTTTTTTTATTGTTTATACCTAGTTCTTGCACTTTATTATCTCCTCACTATCCTATTTGCCGTTTATAAGTTAGAATTCTCTAGTACGAAGATATTTCACCAGATTACACTGAGGTTTGTGGAGCATCATGCATTCCATAAATCATTTTGTCTATTGTTATTTTGCGTATCCTTTTATGTTTTGTGGACAAGATATATTCATTCATTCATTCGTTCATTATAACTATGAATTGTTTTAGACACTTCCCACGAACTTTTCTGCCATGTAATCGACCGTTGCTTTTAAAGTTAGCTTAGGATAGCGTAGCGTAATACGTGTTTCTTCATTACGTTATTACCTATTCCACTTTCGCACCACACAAACGTTCACATGGGTCTTTCATTTCCTCATGTGCCTTTCCAAGTCATTGAGTCATTCCAAGCGCTTTTTTGAAGCTCGAAGCCCTTTGGATTAAATCCAAACCGTCTTCGGTCTTGGATAGCATTTGCTGCTTATATTTGAAGCAATTAAGGCATCCGTGGCGCACTTGCCTACGTATTGGCTTCGGCGCCGGTGGTCTTGGGTTCGAATCCCTCACAACAACTATTTGTGTGACCCACACATCATTGTCTCGGATCTGAGTGTCTGTCCACGTGAAAGTTGTTTACGTAAAACGTCCTTACAACACTGGATAATATTATCCTACCCTACAGTACGGGCAATGGTTAAAAAAAATCTAAACTAAAACGGTCGGAAACCAGGCAACGACAAACTAACCGCATTTCATGAAAAAGCAAGACAAGTGTGCCTAGTCTCATCGTGGCGAACAACAACTTAACAAGTGCTTAGTCGATAGCTAAGGCGAGCAACAAGTGCTTTGTCTCATCGTGGCGAACAACGTTATGCCTCCTTCGCAGAGCAAAGGCTGGACAGCAAGAAGGTGCAGACGCAGAAGTGGCAGCGGTACATGGAACCGGGCGACGAGCTGGAGCCGGCCGCTTCGCCAATGAAGCGCTCCTCCAGGAACCTCGCCGACGAGTTGGCAAACGACGATGACGACGACGTCCCACTCCCGGAGGCGGTGCTCACCACCAACCTGGGCCTGGACATCGTCGTCGTCGTGACTAAGGTGGGCGCTGCGTCCGCGGTCTCTTTTGCACATTTTTCTTTTTTTTTGTATGAAAAGTTGCCGAGCGAGCAGGTTGGTTCAACTGGTGTTAAGTGAATACCACCGCCCGTGACATCTGCTACACCCGAGGGTTTGCAGACGTTTAAGTAATATTTTTTTCTTAAATATTTAAGACACATTTTTTTTTACACAACGTACTCTTACTTTAGTCCTAAACTAATAACATGTAAATATTATGAATGATGTTTTAATAGATATGACGCGTGTCCATACTGCGCGGCGTTTAAAAATTCTTCCGCTGTACATTATGTTACATAAAGTGAATGTGACAGATAATATAGAACGTATGATACGGAAAGAGATAGCAGTTTACAGAGCTCCAATATAATAACACCAATTGGCGTAATTTGAGTGCGCCAGTTTCGGTGCGCTAGTGTCTACCTAATATAGATACCTGTAATATCATTGCATACTATATATTCTCTGCGCATATTATCTCTTCTTATTATATCCATTCATACTACTATACCATTTTCCCTTCTACTTTTCCTTTCTACATCAATGTCTTGTTTACTTCTCTACTGAACGAAGAGTTTTAAAATCGACCCTAAAGTATCTTGTTGTGTCTCTAAGCAGCACTAAATTACTAAGAGCCACTCGTTTGTGGTCGCAAAAAAGTTTGCTCTGACCATCAAATTAAGTTACGAACCTTTTTTAATGCGATTTGTAAGCGAATATTCATATAAAGATTCACTGATAAATTGTTGGTAGGCTGTAACACCGATCTCTTCCAAATTCGAAACACTGTGAAGCATGCATTCCTTTTCTCCGTTCTTCTTTCGAGTGAGATCCACTATCTCCCGTCAGACTGACTACATGAGCACCCTGGAGAAGGAGCACGACTACCGCGACGAGCATTTCGACTTCATGCAGCAGTGGATAAGGCGCTTCTGCCTCCAGTACGGCGCGGCGCTGTTCTACACCAGCTCGAAGGAGGACAAGAACTGCGACCTCCTATACAAGTACCTCACTCACCGGATATACGGGCTGCCCTTCAGGACGCCAGCCCTGATAGTCGAGAAGGACGCCGTGCTCATGTGAGTACAACACTTACCCTCTAGCGGGAAGCTAGAAGTTAGCTGCTGGCTTCTCGGTGTTTTCTCACTGTGGCGCTGCTCGGCAGTTTCTGCTACGTGGCCCATTTTCTAGATCGGTATCAAGTAAATGTTCTTATATGTACTTTTAAGTTTCTTATGAGGGAGGGGTGCATCTCTAAATATTGGCAAAACATAAAAGTACGCGTGTTCTTTCCCTTTAGTTTAAAAATGACTATCGTTATAATTATGTTCATATGTTCTCTTGCAATTTGCTTTTGTCTTGTCTTGGTCTGTAGTTTTGTCGCCCTAAATGAAGATCGCGCGAAATGTTCGAATTTTTTAGATATTTTTAAGGTATCAAATATATTCTCAACATTCGCCCTATTGAGCTTATTACATTGATAAAGATTAATTAGTTTTTGTTTATATAAGGAAGAAGATTTGTATCGATAAGTATCATTCAGATATCGATAACGTGCGTCGGTAAATACGTGGAAATATTAATATTTTCTTTTAACATAAAGAGTCGAGACATTAATTACATGTTTTTGTTTTTTAATTAACTAATCGGCGTCGCTCGAACACCTGTTACTACCGAAACTCTATAAAATGATACATTTTCTTATAACCACATATGTTACATATAGTAATATTTTGGCCCGTGTTTAAAATTTTTCTTTGTTAGTTTTGTTGTTCTGGCGGGGGCCGTTATTCTATCTAAAGGATGAGATGAAGCTGATAAAGCTCTTGAGGCTCCGATTGTAGAAACTTAGCCAATATACATACAGCGTGTCATTACAATCGCGACAATAAATGAACACACGTCTAAAGCTACTTGCCAATAAGCATAAAAAAATATAAAACGTTAAAAAAATCCATAATTTAAAAAAAATATTTTTCAAACCAACTAATTAAAATGAAACAAAGAAAATTTGTAAGATCCTATACAACTACAACTGACCGATTCATACGTTCAGACACTTTTTCATTCGTTGCCGCAGCGTCGCATTACAAATCTCTCCTTCTAACAGTACGTTTTATCCCTTTCAAATTCATTCAACCCATTCATATGCTTTGTAACCTTTACAAATGAACTTTAGGTTATAGTTTTATACGTAAGGGTGTTCTAAAATTGTTTGTTTTTGAAAACTCAATAACTCTGTAAGTATTGATGTTTAAGGAATGTAAATGATTAATACAATTTTAATAAGTTAGCCTCTAAATGTGTATTGATTTATGGTCGCGTTAGTAGCGACACGCTGTATAATAGCCGCAATATTGCAATAAATAAGATATTTTAACTATATTTATATTATGATCTATTGTTATTTTTTTATATCAAATATAAAAATCGATTAACTAATGATGAGTTTCATCTACCAACTTATCCAAATGCAGAATTCCATTAGAATCGTAAAACTGTATTCCTTAACTATTAATTAATTATGTTACTTTACGATTTATTCAAGCTAGGAAGTGGGGGCCGGGGTGGTCGCAAGAACAGACTCAGATAAAAGTGACTCACTTTGTGAGCTGTGTCAATGAGTCATACCTAATATAAGCAAGATCGATAGTCTGCACGCAGTGCAGTGAAATCTGTGAGCGTATGCTAGAATTTTGCTCAATCACAACACAAGAGTTGAGAGACGTTTTCCAGCGGCGAATTGATTTATGTTGTTAAAAGTTGATAATTTTTTTTTTGACCAGCCTGAAATATATAATCTACTTCTTTAAAATCTAAAGAATGTTTAACAACACGATCGTGAAGGAAATATTGCTACATTTGCGATTGATGTTTTAAACATAGAAACGGATATCTGTAATAACTTTGACAATAGAATTTAAAAAGTTTAGTAGTATTACTTTTCTTTTATTTTAAAAGCACTCCCTTACTGTCACAGCTTCGATCGGAATTGTTTATGACATACAATTTTGCGGTCGATTCAAAGGGTATAAACCAAATCTCGGCGTCCTTAATACCGTTAGACATATCATCCAACGTAGATTCTGTAGCTCATGGAATATTTATATTATCTGGGCTAGGACCCCAATCTTCTCTTTGGCCGCATTAAAAGTATGGCTGCTCGATAACATCTTCGTGTAAGACACGCCTGTCAATAAGATCACTATGAGTAATTATTCGGAAGCTGGTACCCCTGCTTCACAGGATATAAAGTCCCCCCGCATCGCCTTAAGGAGTTGCGAGAGATGGATTGTGAATTAGTTTCGCGTCCTTCCAGACCAGCGGGCTGGGACAGCATGAAGAAGATCAGCATACTCTACGAGAACATGCAGTCGTGTAAGCCGGACGATTACTACAGAGATATCATCGTGCAGCCCGCCACGAGGAAAGTGAGTTATGTTTACATTGTAACAGAATACAATTATTTACTTTATTTATTTATTTCTCCAACAAAATACACATCAAAACATGCTTAGAACATCAATAAGTACATAATGCCTTAAACTAAATAACTTTACGAGCATAGTGTAAGAGATGGTCAAAAGCAACCGTAAACAATACCGTCATCTATGAAAACGATGGAACTCTGTAAGGTAAATAAATTGTTCGTGAGCACTCGAGGCGTGCGGAAACTCTGCTGAATCGCTTATCTGTAAACTGTAATGGCAATTTATTTCGTTGTTCGTAACATTTTTTAAAGTGTTTTCATTAAAATCCTAACAATAGAATAAAAAATATTAGAGTAATAATGATCTAACGACACTTGTGGAAATTTCGTTTTTACAGACATTTCTACCGCTGTTGGTATTGCGATCGGGGACGCATCAAAATTACCTACAATTTTAAATTCCCATAAAGTGTAATGTAATCCATCTTAGTTTCGTTCACATTTTAAGAGTGTATTTGTGAGAGCTTTAAGCTTTAACTACTCCTTACTCCCTGTACTGCTAGATCGCAGCGAAGGTAGCCACTTGAGGCGTTAAGAGTCCCGCATCGAAACCAATACTTGCGAGACATGTGTGTAAGAGCGTTGTTGAACGGCCCCGGTGGGAATTTCAGAGCGGTGGGCTTCGCGAGGCGGAGGTGTGCGCTGAGGACGAGCAGGCATTCCTCCAGCGGCAGCTGGCCGCGCTGCAGGCGGGCGCGCCCGCGCCCCGCGCCGACTCGCCCCTGCGCACCGCCCAGCGAACCGCCGCCCAGGTAATATGCGCCCTATTTCTAAGGTCTTAGAGGCGATTGTGGTCCGACTCTCTGACGCAAGCACGTGACGACGTCTTCTATAGCCCTAGCCGAACCGGCGCCCAGGTAATATGCGCCCTATTTCTAAGGTCTTAGAGGCGATTGTGGTCTGACTCTGACGCAAGCACGTGACGACGTCTTCTATAGCCCTAGCCGAACCGGCGCCCAGGTAATATGCGCCCTATTTCTAAGGTCTTAGAGGCGATTGTGGTCTGACTCTGACGCAAGCACGTGACGACGTCTTCTATAGCCCTAGCCGAACCGGCGCCCAGGTAATATGCGCCCTATTTCTAAGGTCTTAGAGGCGATTGTGGTCTGACTCTGACGCAAGCACGTGACGACGTCTTCTATAGCCCTAGCCGAACCGGCGCCCAGGTAATATGCGCCCTATTTCTAAGGTCTTAGAGGCGATTGTGGTCTGACTCTGACGCAAGCACGTGACGACGTCTTCTATAGCCCTAGCCGAACCGGCGCCCAGGTAATATGCGCCCTATTTCTAAGGTCTTAGAGGCGATTGTGGTCTGACTCTGACGCAAGCACGTGACGACGTCTTCTATAGCCCTAGCCGAACCGGCGCCCAGGTCATATGCGCCCTATTTTTGTAGGCCTAGAGTCGATTGCGGCTTCGTCACGTCTCTGTATGTACGCTTAGAACCGATTGTGATTACGCAACGGGAAATCCGACTTGTTCTCCAGACTTGTTTAATTTCTGTTACTAGGGATACATTTAGTGTTAGATTAAGGTGCGAGGTTGTGCTATATTTCATGGAATGCGCAACTTAAATCACATTCATACGGTATTTCCTATTGTATTCAGGTACATTATAAGAAACTCACATTCGCCTTATATCATTAAATAGTGGAGTTTAATTAAATACGAAAACAGTCCAAAGCATATGCATTGGGACCATCGTCTTTTGTACGCATTAGACAAATATAATCACGAAAAATCCCCGGCCGCAGCTGGACGGCACGAAGATCAGCATGGGCGGCGGCACGCCCGGCAACGAGGGCGTGCTGGCCAACTTCTTCAACTCGCTGCTGTACAAGAAGACGGGCTCGCCGGGCGCGCGCGCCGCCGACGCGTCGCCGGCCGCCGCCGCCGCGCGCTCCGACGCCGCCGCCGAGCTGGACCGCCTCACCAGGGCCAAGCGCGCCCCGCTAGACCTCAACGCCTCCGACTGCTAGCCGCGCGTGGTACGTGCACACGCACACATACACACACGTACACGTACACACTAACACGCACACGCACTCGAGACGCTTCACCCGCTGATAGCAGCTAGCTCAGTACATGTACACGCACACGCGGACGCATACACAAACATATACACGCACTCGCTACGCTCCTCCCACTATAGCAGCGAGCACAGCACGTGTGCACGCACACACGCGGACGCTTTCACACGAATATATACACGCACCCGCTACTTTCCTCCCACCGATAGCAGTGAGCGCAGTGCGTGTGCACGCACACACGTTGACGCATATATGCGCACCCGCTACGCTCCTCCCGCTAGTAACAGCGAACGCTGTACGTGTGCACCTACACACGTGGACGAATACACATGAAAATATACACGCATTGTCTACACTTCTCCCACTATAGCAGCGAGCGCAGTACTTATACACGCACACACGCGGACGCATACATACGAACACATACACGCGCGAGCCCAGTACTTATGCGCGCACACACGCGGGCGCATACATAAGAACATACACGCATTGTCGCGTCCCGCTGATAGCAGCGAACGCAGTACGCGTGCACACACACTCTCCCAATGAGCACTGATAGAAGAGCGCTCGCCGCGAGTTCATTTCATACGCACAAACGCTGAGCATTGAGGTTTACACACAAACACATATGTGTGGGCTTTGAAGTATATCCAATCTAGTTGATTTAATTGATGCATCCGACTGACACCAACTACTGTGCGATATAGTATGGTATCACAAAAAACCCAAGCACCTCGTCACTTTCAGTCATACGACTCACAATACGCAGATGCTAAATAAATTACGCAGTGACTGTTATTGAAGATATTCCTTTTGTTATTTGCAGATATCACTTGAATGCGGCGGACGAACACACACTCAGTCTAGCTCCGGCCCCTTCCGGGAGCGATGCTTGCGCACCGCGTCAACAAAACTTTCAAACTTTAGTCTATACATGGCTGGCTTGTACTTCGTTGTCAACGCGTCGGTGTACACACGTCATTTTAAACCGTATAACACTTATAACTGTCAACTTTGCAATGTATACTGCGCGTTTATTGGACGTCTTACGTCGCGGTGTCGCTTGCGACTGGCCATTTGTAACTACGCGCGCTCGAGACGCGCTGTGATTGGTCGGTTGGACTCAACGGACGATCGCTATTGGTCTTAAATGTCACCGCGATTTCGTCGCGGCGTGCGGGTAAATATTGGCAGAGTGAATAATCGTATGGTTTATATAGAGGATTAGATGTATCGTAAACATAATTTGGTCCGCTGTGGCGCAATCTTCACGTAGCGAAAGCTTACTTACTTTATTCGATTTGAAATTGAAAGATCCGTTAAACATATGCGATAAAAATGGAGAGTAAAAAAAAACAAAATGAAATAGTTCGGATTAATGTAAGAATTCATACAAAGTTAACTAACCTTTTGTTGTTACCTCATTTGGGATTCAATATTTAGTTATGCGGGGAATGCGCCACTTTTCAGTTTAGGTTCAACTTTGTAAAACATTTCCATAACGCAACATTGAAGTTGGAACGAGAAAAATACTTTCCTATCCAGTAATTGTTTTATTTGTAATATGTTTTATGATATTAATTAAGTATTTATTTAGTTAGCCTCAAGTGTAACTGGAACGTGATTATAAGGTGATGTGACGGCAACAATATGCGTTTAGTGTTAGCTTGAATTAACTGGATGGAAAAAGCGCTAACGTTATCTGAAAGGATGCCGTCAATTTTTTTTTTAAAACAGTCGCTCCGTAGTCTCTGTGGTTTCAATACATAATCTATGATAAATAATCTCTAACGACATTAAGTCGTTTTTGTTAATTGAATAAGCAGCCACAGATACAACGGGCCTGCTGTGCTTAAGTAACGGTTCCGGAGTGAGATTAGGAATGTTCCGAAACACGTGATCTTCTGTGAAGACTGGACGTGCGGTGTTGTTGCATAATGAAGTCACTTTTTTTGTACAAACCGCTGGATTTTCACGAACAGCGGCAATAACTAACCCATACCGGCAGCCAAGTTTAATCATTCTCATCTGATCCAACACATTGATGGCGTCGATAAACCTTTTGATTAACAGCACATTAGATTTTTTTTAACTGAAAACACAGAAAAAGTTATTTTATCTGGCAATTCAATTCTTTTTTGACCGCGAACCCCTAACGCCTCTGTTTTTTGTTAAATTATTATTATATTACTACAAAATTAATATTATATTATATTTTACGCACGTACGTGTTCTATTTTAGGTACCACCGTCAATTCCGGTATTCAATCAGAACTAATCGACTAATAGTATTCTCTAACAGATCGTTATCAATGTGTGTCGATTCAGATGATGCAATTTAAGCGTACAAAATGTGATATGTGAGATTGTTGCCGTTGTTATGCGATCGCTGGTGAATGTTTGTGTAACGCCGTTAGCCTTTTGGCAGCTACTGTAGGATAAAAGAATCCACAACATTCATTATAAATGGACATACATTCGCCGGGGACGCATTACTGTGTTTAACATAATATCATCTATTGTAATGAACAACTCGCTCTGTTCACGCATCCCATGTCGAGATTTGATTTAATGGTGACCTTTATTGTTGCTCTTAGTGACCGAATTTATTTATTCAGTGCGCTAATAAATACACACCCTGGAGATTAGTTTTCGCCATTGATCTTTTCGTTGTAAATGAACTGTAACGAGACAACTGGTGTATTTGTTTTATCATTCGGATTTTTTTCGTTTATGGTGCAATACAGAACATTCCAAACGTGGTTTGGTGCTTAATATTATAGTAAAATTATCGAATACAATGTGGAGTTTCATTTAAAAAAAAAAACACTCGCCCGTTTGCTTCTTTCACAAATGCCTGGTTAGTGATTTTATTTTAGTTACTAGCATTAAAGGTCACTATTATCAATATAGAATCAATCAATTTTATACCAATTAGTAATGCTAAGCATAGATACAATGTTAGACCTCAGACCATATCTTAGGTACTTAAAGTCGTAAATAATCTCGTAGATTGGAAAAAAAAACTTATCATAATAATTCGTGAAACCGTGGGCTTAGCTTTTCCGGATCCAATTCCTAAACTTAAGTATTTATAAAGAATTATTAACATTGATTTGCCTTGAATTTAACCGTGTAACTTATTAACTGGCGTATACTAGGTAGTAAGTAGTATTATTTGTTTATGACAAACTTATTTAGAGGTTAGGTTTCTCTTTTAAAACATAATTCTTTTTCAATGTGTGAAAGCATCTAATTAAGTGCATGGCAAGTTTGGATGTTGAAAGGTGTTTACTTAATTAGACAACACTAGTGTGAATAAGTATCGCAGATAAATTAACAATGTTGCCAAGACCGTAACAACTTTATGTAGGTACCTTAAGGTTTTTTATTCCATTCTAAGACCTGACCTAAGGTTGATTCGATGATTTAATATTCCCTTCGTAAACTCGCGATAAGTATAATTATAATAATACCATTTCGTTAAAACCAACACTTCTCTACCAGTAATTGGAATATGACGATACACACAGTTCATAATATATATATATATCTTTGTCAAAGGTTAAGCGAGGTTTTGATGTATTATAATAAAGTTATTTATAGTAGAGGCAAGTTCTGTGTTCTGTGGATCACGTGATGGCATGGAAAAAGGCTGGATAATTGTCTATTTTTGTAATGGGGTGTAAAAAGTTAGGTGGCTCATTTTCGAAGTAGATTGTTTTGCATCATATATTATTGGCGTAATATAGCCCGCCAATGTTTATAAACGAAGCATTTTTACTAGAATTATGAAATAAAAAGACAGGATGTCTTGGCAGTTGGCTGTTTAAAATTAGTTGTAAAAGAAATTATTCAATAATGCTATCGGCACAGCATAATCAATGATAAGGTTATTTTTTGTAAGTCAAAAATTATCTTGACTTTCACGCGAAATTCAGTTTGGCCATCTTTTTCGTACATTTGTTGAGATTTGTATTCTTAATTGTAACAAATGAAAAATATTTTAATTTTCAACTTATTGCTCATTTTTTCCACTTTGTATGTACTAGTCAAATTATCAGGTTGAGATATTTATAGTTTTCACTTTTTGCGTCTTCTCTGTGATAATGATTATATAGAACAAATAACATTTCATGTCTGCACATAATTAGCCACTTATCGTCCTCAAGTTTAGGCTGAGAGATACTAATTAAAATCACTTTTGTAACTTTAAAATGAAATTAACATTTACAGACCTAGTATGTGTTTTAACGTATTGCTCTTTGGCCGATATTCTTAAAATTTTATTATATTCGTTTTTTACTTATTTTATTTGCATGTATTACGGAGTCGATACGATCTACCTACGATATATTTTGTTTAGCATTACGGAATGCTATTTAAGTTGAAATATTATTGTGTGAAAATAAAAAGGCATAGTGATATAGCAGTAAATTCTCAGTGAATAATACTTTACGCTTTTTAGATAAGTATATAAATGTTTACGGTATATGTGAAGGTTCATTTTATATTTATGTAGTTGCGAATTTAATACTATTTATGTAAATACATCTGCTACTGTCGAACTAAATTTATGTATTGTTGGTATATATATCAACGATATTCAGAAAAAAATCACAAGTTATTCATTTTAAATTGCTTTTGAAAATACAGTAATACATAAGCACATACACCGAAATATTTGTTTAAGCATTTTCCAATACATTTTATTTTACGGGAGCATTGGCAAATATACAAGTTACACTTGCGCTTTAAAATATTAAAATAATAGTTTAATGCGTTAAGTAGATTTTACCAAGAGGTACTGATTCTCTATACCTGTAAATATCCACATTACTACTTTTAAATTCGTTACTAAAGTCCTTGGTATTTGATGTATGTACCTCCTTTAGTTATTTTGTCATCTGTTACACAAGTTCTCTCTTAAAATTTGAAATTATAACCTTGATTCTTACTTATTTCGTGGCTTAGTTGGTTATTATAAAATTCCCGTTATTTTATTTAAATAGTTTATGATGAACTGCGACATCAATTAAAATTTCAATGGTTTTAAAACAGAGTACACTCGTCTCCGTAAATAATCTGTGTTACAGAGTAAGTGCAGTGTATTTCTTAGTTTAATCCAGTAGCCTGTAATTCTTGATTCTACAGCTTATTGGCGATTGTTGTACAGATTTTCGAATATAATGGCACAGAAATTGTTCTCGGAATGTTTGTTTTATTTACCATGCAATACATATGTACTGAATTGGTTACTAAAAAAGGAGGACCGAGAAGAGAAGTTAAAAAATTACTAGCAAAATAAATTATTTAACAATAAAGTAGTAAATCCTGCTTTCTAGTTTATTATAGTTCTATATAAATGTATAATCTTTTAAAAATGTATAAGAGAATGAAAATGCCACCGATACTATGTCCAGTTTCCGAAAGGTTAATCAAAACAGCAAACGTATTATGCTATAAATATTCGTCTGTTAAACTCTTCTTAAACTACCGTGGGTTTCTGAAAGGTTTCGGTAAAAAAATAGTTTTTAATTTCTTATTTATATATTTTTTATGTTCTGAATCTACCAATCGGCCGAAAACAGACACGTTCAAAATCCCTATCCCGCAAACCAGGACTACTTTTACTGAACATTTGGGAATTTACGTATTTTTCTGTATCTACTTCTACACCAAATTAGTCAACTTAGGCAATCAAGAGTATTGCAACCCTTAATTGTAAAATTTTACCTAAAAATAAAATTTAAATTAAGCGATTTACCCTATTCCAAGCCTTAATAATGAGAGAGCTTACCTCGACTTCCGGAATAACACGTCAAAACACACCCCCTTTAATAGCTATGTCGTAACTTCCGCCGCCATTTTGTTCCCCCACCATTGCACAGAGCTCAGCAGCCATGCGCCGTAGGCGCGCTAGCTTCATTGGAACTCATTGTTTTTATTGTATACCGTCCATTGGATATGGATGGTATATTCGGTTAGCCACAGTATGAGATGTACTGGTGGCAAATTAAACCACAGTATGGTATGACTGGTGGTAGTAAGGATACATATAACTTTCACAGACTAATACTGCATGTTGACTCTTAACAATCTGAAAGATAGCTTATTAAACTAAGATTGTGGTTAGATAAATGATTACTTACAATGAAATCTTCCTGAAAGGTAAAAGATTGTAATTATAAGCAGACAGCAATAAAAACTAGGCTTGGAATAGGGTAAATCGCTAATTTAAATTTTATTTTTAGGTAAAATTTTACAATTAAGCTTTTGTAACCTATTCCAAGCCTTAATAATGAGAAGTGTTTGTTATCGGCTGCTGAAGAGAAAACGCCAATGTGAAGTAAATAAAACTATTAAGTTTGACCTTTATACGATGTTTATTTAATACCAAACTTATTTACAAATAAATTCGAATCAACAAAAAATTAAACGGGATTAAAACAGTTTAACAACTCGGTACCATTATTTCTACTCGACTTAACTTCCTTTTTATAAAACCTATGGAACGTAGACGCATTTTTCCAATGTCCTCGAAACAAAATATCGTCAATATTATGATTTTCAAGCCAGCTGTAAGATGCGACAGCTGACCGAACACTTCCTGGAGAGTTATCGATTGCAGCTTCTTTTAAAACAGATTTAATCCAGCCGCCTATAATGGTGCGAGAAGCCGGTTTTACATTCCCTACTGATGTGATAAATAAATTATTCGCATATCTTTATCATGAACTTTGAGCACAATAGAAGCAGAATTTTTTGGAAGTTTCAAATTTATTATTTATTGCACAAATCTTTACATAAATAGGAGCCTTAATTAGTCTAGGTTTACACAAGGATATTGCCTTAAGGGTTTGTCTAACAATGACATGATTACTTAATGGGGGATTTTTAGGACAGAAGGTTGAAATTACCGATCTGTGAAGACAGATTGAGCTGTATGACAACTTGGTCTTTTGGTGCAAGTCAGCAAGGAATCGTGCCAAATCAGAAGGACTAGGGTCTGTTCTTGAAACTTCGTTAGACGAGGCCCAAGAACACCACCTTGTCAAAGCAGGTCTATATGAAGAAAGGGTCGATTTTCGCCAACTACCTAACAAAAGACCTTTTTGACTTTCGTCCCTTGAACCAAGCATTGAGCTCCACCCCGTATCTGCCAAACCTCCAAAATCATTTGCTTGGCACCCGGGGGAGGCATCTGAGTTCGCACATCCACCAACGCTCCCTGTACGTCTTGAATCTCTATTGGAGGGGAGAGAGACCTTGCCATCAAGTCGCTGCGCCAGAATACCTTGGTCCATTTCGGAACAACCATCAGAAACACTCCTTTGCATTTGTTCAGATGTCTTAAGACCCGAGGAACTATGTACGGTGGTGGAAACAGCCATGCGATCCGGTAATTCCACAGGCGACTGAACGCATTGATGAAGACTGCTTGAGTATCGAATGGATCCATTGTTACATACGACGGGACTACATGGGCCTGATTTGATGCGAACAGATCTATTTCGGGAGTTCCCCAATGTTGAAAAATCTGATGAGTCATCAGATCTCGCAGATGCCATTCCGAATTGGCTTGCAATCTGGATAGACCGTCGGCTTCCACGTTGTAACGGCCGGGGAGGTAATTTATTGACATGGGGATATGGTACCGATCCAACAACCTTAAAACTCGCAGCGTGATATTCATTAGCGGTAAAGACCTGGTTCTTTCCTCGTTCCGGAGATAAGAAACCACTGTGCGATTGTCCGACAAGATCTGTAGTGACGAGTTCATGATGGACCGAGCATGTAGGTTCAGAACTTTTTCTATCGCCATCATCTCTAGAATGTTGGAGTGAAACTCTTTTTCGTGACTCTGCCACGTGTCTTACATTTTCAAATCGTTTAATACTGCTCCCCAACCGTGAATTGACGCGTCGGTTTTTAGGAACATCTCCGGGGCAGGGTAATGAAGGAGAGTGTTTGTGGGCGTGAGCTAACCACCATCTCATCACCATCAATACTTGGTCGGGAATTGGGAATTCCGTCCAGGGGTTCTGTTTCAACAACTGATGGCAGTGTGACAGTATTGGGCGAGAGTTTAATCGACCCCTGGGGACTACAAAGCTGGCGAAGTTGCACAGGCCTAGATAACATTGTATTTGTCGTAACGAAGCCATCCTCCTCGATAAGAGGATTCTGGATTTCGCTAACAGCTTCTCGACTTTGGTCAATGGAAGATTCTTCCTGTTTGTCCAGGGACTCCATTGCACGCCTAGAAATTCTAAAGACCTTTGCGGTTCCAGAACGGATTTCTCGAAATTGATTGTTAGTCCTAATTCTCTGAACAGACTGACAGTGAATTCCATCTGTTGGATCAGTACTTTCCTGTCCTGATGTACGAGACAAAAATCGTCGAGATAAACTAGGAGTCTTAATCCTTGGGCTCTGAGAATCTCGGCGACCCAGTTTGTAAGGGTTGCAAAGATTTTTGGTGCCGTCGATAAACCGAACGGTAGGCACGTTATTTGCCACAGATGATGGCGAAAAATCACCCGTAGGAAACACCGATGGTGAGACGAAATTGGCACGTGAAAATATGCACTGTGGAGGTCTAGTTTTATCATCCAATCGTTCGTCTGGAGAAAATCCGGGACTATGAACATGTTCGTTAGACGGAATTTTTCTGTACACACAAATTCGTTTAGGCGCTTCAAATTGAAAACAGGACGCAATTTCCTGTCCGCCTTTGGAACCAAAATATGTTTGAAACAAAACTTGGAGTTAGTGGCACTGGCTCGAAAACCCCCTGTGCCACCAATTTCCGAAATTCGATTCTTACCTCCGGTGAATCTCGAGTGTGAAACCTGCTCGGGATTCGACGCGGATGTACTAATGGTGGATTTTTGAGAAAGGGTATTTTGTATCCTGATATACTATACTCTTCTCTGCTCTATATGATGTACTCTTTACGCAAGAGTTGTCTTAGTGGCACATCCTTGCGCAGGATTGCTTGCTGGCAGCATGAACACTTTCTCTACACCGCCATTCTTCGATATATAGTCTGAAAACCGATCATCATTAAACAAATGGTTGATAGTAGGAGGAATCTTTCTGAGACTCTCTTTAATGCCTTTGTCCTTAACATAATTAAGAACGCAATCACGCCGCTGCTGTATTACGTCTGCACGCCGACCACAAACCATTTGTAAAAGATCCAAATGCGTTTGATTGTATTCGTCGGAAAAAATCTCATTTATTTTATTCAAAACATCGTCAGTGGTCAAAGACTGAGTAGAACCCAGCCATGAAAGTAATTTCTGAAGGCCTTCAAGTAATTTTTCATTTTGAATAATTAAGCCATGTGAAACGGCGGCCAGAGTTTTTTCTGTTGCAGCTAATGTTTTATTGCGATCGAACATTTTAAACATATCGTTGCTTTCCAGCTCTAAAAAACCTGGACTAGACACGTATTGTTTTTTAATTTCTGCATACCTAAAATGTGACCAATCAATCGTGTCAAAGTGTTGTAACTTGCACAAAGTTTTTGCATGAGAGGTAGAAGTTTTCGGAATTGTCGATTTGAGGGTAGTTTCCTGCTTGAAATCAAAACTATGGAGCACTGGCTGACTACATTCAGTTTTATTGTGGCTAAAAGAAGCCTCCGAATCGTCGGGGACCAAGATAGACAGCGCGTCAGAATCACTATTCTCGTGCATTTTAGGAACAGAATGTATTGACTGACCTTTTACTATAGTACTTACGGTGGCAGTAAGATTGTCTACTGCCTTTTCCAACCGCTTCATACGCTTATCATTTCTGCGGTTGCGATTCTTCCTATGATGATGTCCAGCACTCGAGGACGCGGATGACGAGGCACTAGATGTACTTGATGCACGCCTGGACTTCGCGGGGGCATGAAAACTCAACGGCACACCGGAGCTGGAATTTTCTTCCATTTTTTAAAAATTTGAAGCACTTTCTACAAATTGCCCGTGTTACTCGGACGAGTCAAAGAACGCCAATGAAGCTAACGCGCCTACGGCGCATGGCTGCTGAGCTCTGTGCAATGGTGGGGGAACAAAATGGCGGCGGAAGTTACGACATAGCTATTAAAGGGGGTGTGTTTTGACGTGTTATTCCGGAAGTCGAGGTATGCTCTCTCATTATTAAGGCTTGGAATAGGGTACAAAAGCTTAATTGTTTAAGTTCTCATTGATGGAGATAGTTTTTAAATGGTCATATAATTAATCTGTAGGCGTAATGTCAACAGTTTATTGAAATTAGTTTATCTTTACACACACACACACACACACACACACGTACGCTTCCCCCTTACCTATTGTTTCCCTTTCAATATTTATTTATAGCCTGTAAATCATATTGTAGATCGTATTTTTCGTCCCCCGTAGGACAGGCAGCAGCCTTGTGTAGGGTTCTGTTCTTAGGGCATGTAATTTATAAATATTTTGGAAATAATTTGTATTTGCAAAATTTTTGAAAGTTACAATTTTCTTTTGCTTGATAAAGTTCTAATAATGTAATGAAATATTGGCTTAAAGGTCTTGTTACCAGCCCATAAAATCTTTATTAAAATTATAATAAAATGTCATTGGCTTAAAGGTTTTGTTAGCAGGCCTTAAAATCTTTGTTAAAAAAAATGAAATGTCAATGTTCGATGTCACAGTCACCGTCAGGGCGGGAAAGTTTAAGTTTGGGCGGTATTTTTTCACAAATTTAAAATTTGTTATAAAAAGTTGTAAATTCTTATAATTTTATGTGAATATCCATTAATTCTATTGAACAGTTAGCATAATTACCTATATTACTGTAAATTTCTTTGTATATATAGTAAATTCTCAATAAAAAGGATTGATAGTAAGTAGCTGTTATCTACTTCTACATCATGGCGAAGACGAAGAAGCGGAAAAAAGAAAAACCTCCGAACGCTGTAGCAGATGAAGATGCTTCGTCTTCATCGGCTGAATCGGATTATGCCGATGCAGTCCCCCGCCCGGAAGACGACATGGATAAGTACAAACCCTATATGGTTGCAGACTACAGTAGGCGCTACCCAGAAGATAGCTCTGCTGGCCACGAATTTGTGGTTTTTATAGAGAGTAATGACGAAAATAAACCTATGGGATCACGAGACATGCTCAGCTTGAGTGGACTCTTTCAGAGATTTGTAAAGGGTATAAAATATTTAAAAAAAGTTAATAAATATAAAATTGGAGTGGTCTTTGACAAACCCAACCTGGCAAATGGATTTTTAGATAATGTTTCTTTCTTAAAAGACCATAATATTATTGCATCAATCCCTGCATCGTCCACCGAGTTAACTGGGGTAATCTCTTCGGTACCTGTGGATATGTCCAACAAAAGAATTTTCAAAGCATTATCGCTTACTACTAAAAAAATTATCTGTGTAAAACGCATTATGCGAAAAATCAGAACTGATGGTAACATAGCCTTCCAACCCACGCAAGCAGTGGCGATTACCTTTGCGAGCTCAACTTCATTGCCAGATTATGTATATCTAAAGATGTGGAGATTGCCAGTGCTGCCTTTCATTCCTCCGGTAAAGCAGTGCTTTAAGTGTTTGAGGTATGGTCACCTATCTAAATATTGTAAAAATTCTGAAAGATGCTCTGTGTGCGGTGAGGGACACAGTTTCAAAACCTGCACGATTAGTATAGAGAAGGCTGTTTGTGTGAACTGTAAAGGTGATCACATAGCCATATCTGGGAAATGTCCGATCAAGCAAAAGAAAATAATAGAAAACAAAAATAATGTTATTCAACGCCCTTTTGCGGTGCTTTTCAATGAAAACAATTTTCCAGCTTTGAAAAAAGATCCTCAGGATATTTCTAAAGTGATATTGTCTGACAAAGTCATCTTAAATTTATTAGCTGAATCTTTATTGAAAATTATTTCTCGAAATAAGTCTGAAAATTTATCCATCAACACACAAAATATTGTTGATGTCATTAAGGACACATTTCAGTATAAAAACAAATCATCGTCACATTCACCACCCAGTCAACAATAAACATTATGCAATGGAATGCACAAAGCATATTACATCAAAAAAATTTATTTAAAAAATTTCTTAGTGACAATCATATACATATAGCATTAATATCAGAGACCTGGTTAAAAGCACACATGAAACTTAATATAAGGGGCTACACTATTGTGAGAAACGATTGTGGTAACGATCACAATGGTGTGGCTATAATTATACATAACAGTTTGAACTATCAAAATATTTCAACTTTTTTTGACAATTCTTTGCAAAACATTGTAGTACAAATACAAATCTATAACAAATTTATTTCTATAGTTAGTTGTTACAGTCCTCCGAATTCTACTCCAAGCTTTAATAAGGCAAAATTTAATAACTTAATTAAAAGTATTCCTAGCCCAATGATAGTAGCTGGTGACTTTAATGCACACCATACGGTGTGGGGTTGTGGTAATATTGATTCTCGTGCCAGAGACATCATCGATGTTATGGAGGAGAATGACTTAGTGCTCTTGAACGACGGAAATCCAACTACAATAGGCTCTAATCGTTGGAGGCCAAATGGTCTTGATCTAACTATGGTCTCGTCATCCTTGGTCCTTTCTTGCGAATGGCAGGTCTGTGAATCACCTCTTGGCAGTTATCATCTTCCCACTGTAACAAAGTATTCATTCTCATCAGTCAACTATATTCCTCTAGCTAATTCTAGTAGTGATGCTAAACGTATAAATCCTAATTTGATAGATTGGGCTAAATATACACAATATGTTAATAACACGCTATCCAAATTTGTAAATTTATCTGATCCTATAGAGAATTATAATAGTTTTTTGTCTAGTCTTATATTCTGCAGTCGATTCTTCGGTATTTTGCAAAACTAATGTAAATAATAATCAAGGCAATAGGTTTCAACAAGGTAGAGGAAAGAAAAAATTTTCACCTCTGCCTTGGTGGAACGAAAAATGCTCTAAAGTAGTTGACAATTGCAAACAAGCTTATTTGTCTTTCAAAATAACTCCTTCTTTAGGAAATTACATAGCATTCAAAAAAGCTCAAGCTGTAAAAAAGATTACGATTAGAAATGAATGTCGCTCAGCCTGGGAACAATTCTGTTCTTCTATAAATAGTTTAGTCCCCATGAAACATATTTGGGAAAAAATGAGAAAGTTTCATAGGACATATAACTACAATAACAAAAAATTTCTCAATAGTACATGGTTACATGACTTTTTGCATAAATACACACCTGATTCTGTAGAAAATGATCTTCCTCACTTTTGTTCCTCAAACTTCACATCCGCTAACACATACTTGATTAATAAATTCACCATAGTAGAACTCAAATCTGCCCTGAAATCAAGGAAAAATTCTACTAGTGGACTTGATGGCTTAACGTATAAAATGTTTAAACTTTTAGATCATGCTAATTTACAGATTTTTTTGAGTATTCTGAATAGCTTGTGGGAATCTAATTTAATACCAAAAGAATGGAAAACTGACTGCTTAGTTCCAATCCTTAAATCTGAAAAAGATCCTAATTTTGCTGACTCTTATCGCCCAATTACTCTAAGCTCTTGTGTAGGAAAAATTTTTGAACAATTAATCAAACAAAGGTTGGAATTCTTTATTGAACACAATCACATCTTACCTAGTAATCAATTTGGTTTCCGTCGTGGCCGTTCTGCCCGGGAGAGTCTAAGCCATTTGTTTCTTGACATTGATGGTGCGCTGCACGAGGATAAAATTGTAGCTTCCGTTTTTTTAGATATAGTTGGTGCTTTTAACAATGTAAATTTACATATACTCTCATCAATTTTATATTCTTTGCATTTACCTGAAAAGTTAATAAATTGGACTTTCAACTTTCTACATGGTAGAGTACTGTTTGTAAAATTTAATAACAAACTATTTGGTCCTCGACTATCTTATAAAGGTGTTAGTCAGGGAGGTATATTAAGTCCAATGTTGTTTATACTTTATATTCATCAGTTGAATATGGTTCTTGGTTCTGATGTCAGCAATCTTCAATTTGCTGACGACTTGGTAGTCTATTGTACAGGTTCTAGCTCTCAAGAAATCAATTATAAACTCAATACAGCTCTTTTAAGTCTGCAATCTTATTTTGATTCTCTTAACTTGGACGTCAGTCATGAAAAGAGTAAAACAATGGTTTTTCATGCAAATTTAACCAGGTCTATAAATATTTATTATAATCACAATCTAATACCATTAGTATCTTCCACAAAGTTTTTAGGAGTCCTGTTTCAAAATAATTTCAAATGGAAAAAATATGTTGATTTATTATCAGATAGAGCTTTAAAAGCATGTAATATCCTCAAATCCTTAGCACATACTTATTGGGGTTCTGATCCCAAAATACTACTAATTTTATATAAAAGTATAGTGAGAAGTCATTTTGAATATGGTTTTTTTTGCTACTCTCATAAAAAGAATTTAGTAGATGTATTGGATAAGATACAAAACAGATGTTTGCGGGTTATAATGGGTGCTATGATATCAACCCCCATTATTTCCATGCAGATTGAAGCTAACATACCTCCTTTACTGCTTCGTTTTAAATTTCTTGCTCATAAATTCCTTCTGAAACTTTCTTCTTTAACTAATCATCCTCTAGTCACCAAGTTACAGTATGCTTCAGAGCGTAATGCTTCCTCATTTCTTGCTCAACAACTTCCTGAAACAATAGAACTGAAAACTAATTGTGTCATTTATGAGGGTAACACTTTGGCCTGTTATAGTGGCTCCTTCTTTAGCAAATTTTGCTACATGAATATTATAATTGACAACTCGTTAAAGTTTAAACAAGATGTTTATAATAAATTGAATGAATTCATAGGTTATTATCATATGTATACTGATGGTGCGAAAAATAATGAAGCAGTTGCTATGTCGATTTATGATTTAAAATTGAGAATAGGTTCGGGCTATAAATTACCTAAAGCTGCTAGCATTTTTACAGCAGAATCTTCAGCGATTTTGGCTGCACTTGATTATATTCAGCAACATAATTATGATAAATGGATCATAGTCACAGATAGTATGAGTGTCTTGAAAGCTTTGGATAATCCTAAATATGATGCTAAATCCAACTACATTATTCATCTTATTAGAGAGAAGTATTTTCAGTTAACTCAATTAAAGTCCATAATTTTGTTTTGGACACCATCCCATGTAGGAGTTTTTGGAAATGACAGCGCAGACTTTCTTGCCAGAACAATTTCTAATACAGTTGATGTTGCCATAAAACAAATTCCCTTACCCGATTCTGATCTATTGTCAAATGTTAAATCCAAATTATCAAAAGATTTTAAATCTGCTTGGGACACAATTATAGAGACTAAAGGTAAATGGTATGCTGAAATTAATAATAGAATCAGTAAACCTTGGTTTATTAAATTCAAATACATTGGAAGGAAATTCTTTACAATCATTTGTCGTTTGCGTTTAGGGCATTGTAGATTTGCTGCTCATTTACACAGAATTAATATAGTTTCATCTCCAAATTGCATTCATTGTAATGATAATATCCCTCAAACTTTACATCACATCTTCTTTGATTGTCCCAGTTTTGCTATACCCAGAATGGTTTTGATAGACTGTCTTTTAAATATTTATGAAAATACGGAGGATATCCCGCGCTCTCTTCCGCAACTCTTAAAGAATAAAAACTGCTTCAAACCTTTATATAACTATATACTTTCAACTCTTGGAGAGATTTAGTCACCTTATGAAAGAAGTGAGGAAACGTTATAAATTACTTGAAATTGAATTGGATTATAAGATTTGTACAAGGATTAAAAAATGACATTAACTTTACCGGATTATACGATAGACATGAAATTACGGAATTACCTGGAAAAAATGAATGTAGAGAATAAAGACTTGGCTTCGGCCTTTACTGCATTTTGAAATTTGACAAAGAAGACGAAATACGGCTTCGGCCTTTTATTATTATCATGAAGTTACATAAAGAAGATGAAAGACTTGGCTTCGGCCTTTATATACCCATTATCGACCAAGAAGTAAGAAGAAGATGAAAGAAGATACAGAATAGACAAGGCTGTATGGGCTAAGTTCCCTTTGCCTTCCCAAGTTCATTGTGATTGGGAAAAATTAACAACACAGTCACCGTCAGTTGGTTTCATGGTTTGTCAACTGCTGGCAATCGAAGGATTGGAGGAGTCGTGATCGTGATCGAAAAAATACTCCTTAAAATATATAAAAAATATTCACACGGTGAAATTGGTTTAAGTGTAAAATTTACTCGATATATAAAAATACCAGAAGTGAACAATTGTACAATTGTGAACAATGTTTTCAAGTAAAATGCTTATTGTGATTTGTTAAATAACAGATTTTTTTAAACAAATAATTAATTTACTTGTATTATGATCGATTAATTTGAAGTGGCCAGTACCATTATGGGGCAAAGTCCGAGTTCAGTGCGAAGCAAATCGAGTCGGAGATCGTTTCGCGGTTTTGTCAGGCGCGCAAAACTAAATAAATCCAGCTTAAGTCACACTTTTAACTTGCCACCATCAGAAGAATATCCAGAACTGATGAATGTGAACACAGCTACTGAAGAGCAACTGATGACTCTTCCAGGTGTAACAAGGCAGCTCGCGCGGGAAATTGTTCGCCATCGTCAAATGATTGGCAGGTTTAAGCGCGTTGACGACCTTGCTTTAGTCTCAGGTGTTCTTTTTATTTCTAGTATTAGCATTTGAACAATACTATTATATCCTAAAGATACATATATGATCTATTTGCTCATGTTTTGCTTTATTAATAAGGACCATTTTAGATACATTTATATTTGTATTCCTGTAGCCAGTCACATTTGTAGATGATAATCATTTGTTTTATCATAAAATTAAATTCAATTCTAAAATCATTTTATGTAAAAATTAAATCATTTCTTTTAAATACCATGTCATGTTTTGGACAATAATTAATTGATATTTTTAGGGATTGGAGCTGAGAAGCTAGAATTGTTGAGGCCAGAAATTTGTGCAAGTACAAGAAAGCAAATATCACGTGCCAGCTCATGCACTCATTCGTTAGACAGCGTCAGGTTACCAGGCGAAAACAAATTATGTTCTATCAATTCTTCAAGTGTTTTCCAACTGCAATGTGTACCTGGTCTTAACCAGGAAATAGCAGCAAACATAGTGGACTTCCGCAATAAGAAAGGCCCATTTAAGTCTCTCGATGACCTGATTAAAGTTCGAGGAATGGACATAGTTAGACTAAGCACAGTTAAACATCATTTGAGTTTAGAACCAAGGAAGTGTGAGAGTGTTCAACTTTTAACCAATGGTCATGCTAGTGTATGGGCTGATGAGTCACTAAATAACTCGAGTTTAAACAATATAGAGGAACCAGAAAGAACACCACACAGGAAAAGTCTGTCCATGCCCACTAAACTGCCCATCACTTTGCCTAATGGCTTTGCTACAGCTCCAGTTAATGATATCTTAGATTTATTAGCTGCATATTCTCACAGACCCATAGTGGAGGAACTGTTTACTTATGAAAGAGATGGTATCAAATGTTGCCGCATTGCTTCATGGAACCTACACCAACTGAGTATCGATAAAATTACAAACCCTGGAGTAAGAGAGGTGGTTTGCAGGACTATTTTGGAAAACAGGTAATTTATGATTTGGTTTGAAACTGTGTGTAACAATTTTTGTGTCAGATGTTTGTCTTCCTTTCTAAATAATATTAATATTTCATTTTGTCTCTTTTTAGAACTAAAAATTTTATATAAATACATAAGAATAGTTAAAATTAGGTTTATGTACTGAACTGTTTGTTTCAATTGTTTATCTTCTTATATATAAAAATGAATTGCTGTTCGTTAGTCTCGCTAAAACTCAAGAACCGCAGGACCAGTTTGGCTAATTTTGGTTTTGAAATATTTGTGGCAGTCCAGGGAAGGTTTAAATGATGACAAATTACTGAAAAATTACATGGAAAATGGAAATAACAACAATTTTATTTTCCCATACAAACTTCCTACCTGTCAAACATTTATGGGTGCATTCCGAAAATTTCTTTTTCTGTGTTCAGATTCAAAAATTCCCTAGTTTAACTTAATAATTTATATGGCAAAAAAACATTTAGCTAATTATGTTATAAAAAAAAGCTAGTTATGTTATAAAAAAACGGCCAAGTGCATGTCAGAATCTCGCATGAAGATTTACATACAATCTTCACTAATATTATAAAAGTGAAATCAGCGTGCTCATGATTAATTTATGATTGAGCCTTTCAATGTAAGTTTCTAAACAATTATCTAAAGATTATAGGTGATTAAGGTCATAATGTGACATGTCTTACAGATATGCTTTTTAATTTTGTAAAATTTTCTTACCCAAATATCTATAACATATTGGAATTTGGTTTTTTGTAAAGGATTAAACAACTGCTTAGTATTATATAAAAAGACCAAAACAGGTGTAATTCTGGGGTGCAAGGTCTATAAAGGCTATATGCCAGATACATTAACACTTTTCAGCCAACCACTCTTGATTTATGCTGAATGGCCCAAAATGTTTGTGGTCTGGCCTCATCATGATACCTCTCAGGAATATCTCCTTTCTGATGACCAGTTCTGTCCGTTGTTCTCAATTTCCTGCTTGAGTCTCACCAGATGTTGATAGTAGAGTTCCAAATCGATGGTATTTCCCGATAGCAAAAGCTCACAATGAATGGTGACCTTCCAATCCTACCATACGCGGCATCACCTTATTGCGTGTCAACTTGCGTTTCGTTATAGTCTGTAGAGCTTGTCTGCCCTTTGAACCATGATCTTTATCGCTTACCTTATGGAACGAAATGAAGAGATTTTTTGCTCAACTTAATTTATAATTTGGCCGAATTGATAATAATTTTTATTGTTAACAACTCGGTAGACAGTCAAAGCGATCCTCTTCTTGTTTTAATTTCAATATTTTTCCTCAGGTTATCAATTATAGCCATACAGGATGTGTTGGACCGGATGGCGTTGAAGATTATCTGTGACGAGCTGAACTCTCCCATGCTCAGAAGGGTTCGGGAGTGGCGATGTAACAGCCACAAGTGGGATTATTGCTGCTCAGATGATAATGGGTGAGTTATGTTATATTATGGTGTTTTACAACTTGTTTATTTCGTTTGCAAATTGCTGTCTAACAATAGATGAATAGATAAACAGACTGTTAATTCATATTTCTATAATGCCTTGAATATTATGCACATAGCAAACCAATTTAAATAGCCATTACATATAATGTATCTGTTCTGTTCTTTTTTTTTACTTAAATTGATTTCCCATTGTTGTGGATAACAGAAGTGTAACTGTACATATCTATTATGCAATTTGTGTCTTAATTTAGTTAAGTCTGCATTACATTATGGAATCTCACAAAGAAATACTTGTAAAAAAAAATTGATAGCGGCTCCTTGTTTTGAAGTGTGATTGGTTGCTTGTGAATATGATCTTCAGCTTTTATACACAAGGTGCAACTTCACAATGTTATTGAAAAAAAAAGCATTTACAAGATTATTGATAAAAATATAGGGAATGTAAAAAATTTATGTACCGTCAGACACAATGGAAAATGTAAAATTTTAGTAGAAGGCAAATGTGGTGGTTTGCGATGATCGGCTTCATTTTTTCTTTTACGTCGACGATAAAGCTTCAGTCACACACAACGTATACACCCTACGATTGGGCATTCTTTGTAAAAGACTACCTGCCCAGACGACATATACGTATTTGGGCCACAAGTAGACTGTCGAAATTCTCATGTAAAATTTGAATTGTGTGACCGAAGCTTTAGAACAATAAAAGAAATGTATTTAAAGATTGGAGGTAGTTAAAATGTAATGATGTTTCTTTGTTTCGAAAACTTGACCGCACGGTAACCGGTAAGTAGTGTCATGATCGAGCGAAGTTAAAAATAACAAGAAATGTATATATGTCATATACATTTTTAGTATTGTGCGTTTTGTATCTCACATATTCTCCGAGCTCGTCTGTATAAACGTCGAAAGTTGGAAAATCCTTTTTACTTATAATTTACGTTTATTAAGTAATATATCGTGATCTCCAATAATTCGTAAGGAAATTCTTTTACATAAGAAACGAGTGCGTTTTTATTGACACGAAATGATTTGACCAATAAATAATGTAAGCGTTTTAACTGCGTTCGCATTCCGACCTATTTTACGCGAGTATCGATTAATAAGCACCCAGTTGGCAATCGAAAAATTAAAGGTTTTCTTGTGTATATGTTTGCGATGCCGTAACGATCCAGAAGTCGCCAGGTCAGATACTCTGCAAGCTGTGTTATTTCGTCGCGATGTCGTTCATATCTCAATTGCAGTGTGCCTCGACTCCATTTGACCTTCAGCATCCCCTTAATGGATTCCACAGACGATAGGGGGAAAGGTTAAAATCGGAAAATTGATCCATTGACTGGTCGGAGATCATTTCTTACGTGTAAGTCGAATTGCGCATGCAGTGTCGCGGTAGTTATGAAATTTAATTGGAGTTATGACCTAATAAATATTTCAAGTGATTTTTTTTAATTAGCTAAACGGAGGTCGCCTTTTCGATAGATGTGCAGATCAATGAGGTTGGCATTTTTCAATCACAAGTTTTTAATCCCTTAATATTTTTTGTACAATAAATTCCTTATTAGAATGTAATCGGTCGATACGCAGTGAAAACATATGGAAATATACAGGGAGATTTTTTGAGAAGTGCCCAAATTTACACATGAGGTTCAGACTCGGTAGTATAATATAGTGAAATAAAAAACAGTTTTTTTTCCAAAAAAAATGCCATTCTATTCCCAAAAAAACAGAACGTGTTGACAATGCGGTAGTCATTCATAAATACCTAAATTTTACTGTGCACGAACTTGTGCGCGTGTTAGTTATGAATGATCGCGCGTAAAATAAATGAGTTGCGTATAAATCACGCACTTTTGAGATAAGTTCAAATGAATGTAATTAATTACTGACGAGTGATTTTAAATATTTATCGTTTTTTATATAACATTATTTATGTCTAGAATTTAATAAAAAATGGATACACTTAGAAAAGCCACCCTGTATTGTGCTGGTTTTGAATAAATCGGATACATATGAATGGCACACAACAAACGAGAATAACTAGAAAGATCGAGCGAAAGAATTCTCTTAGGTCTGCAAATAGACATGTGTGTACGTGTTTGTCTTTTATTTCATCACAGTATGTCGCAACATGAATAACAAGTACTTTACATACTGTTTCGCTGACTGATATCCGTTATCAGAAACCGATGTAGCCGATATGCATGGCTTGCGCATTTTAACAGGTGAATGCGTCCATTCCACTACATACGAAAGATGTCAGCATTGCACGTGGATTCGTTCTGACGTATTCAGGTTATAATTACAGGTCATGTTAGTAAATTTGTATGTTCCAATTAAACTAATTTCAACTGTCATTAGTGATCTATGCACTTATTAGGAATCTCCGCTCAATGAATATGTTTAATAATATCATTTTAAAGCCACGATTGACCTGTTTGTATCGATTTGAACGGAATTAAATAAACAAAACTGCGTTCTTAAAATAAACATCAAATTGAATTTATTACTAAAAAAAGAGCCCAACTTGGCGTAAAGGGCACCTTGTAGTGGCCACATACAAGGATGATTTAGGTATAAATATATGGTTCTGTTGTAATTTATTTAACACTTTAATTACGATGTATACATTTCCAAACTGCATATCTTTATGTATATATATGTATATTTTATAAGTCGACAATTACTTTCGATTTAAGTGGTACATACCACAGAAGGACGTCTGTACCTAGTAAGGTCATACATAAATTGGTATTAATATTGGAACAAATTACTCATTACATTTATTTCAAATTCGAATATAAAGCAGTGGATTGTTAAATAGTAAGATATAATACGGTAGAATGATCTTTATGTGACGATTTTTATAAGTTACACTCTGACTTTATCCTTCCTAAAAATTATGTATCAAGACTTATGTAAATCTTCCTAATAATATAAGATCGAAAACGGAGGATTTTGTATACACGCTGTTTATAAATGTTTAATACAATTTTAAAAAAGTTATCCTCTATATTATGTGTGCTCATTTATTGTCGCGGTTGTAACGACACGCTGTATATACTTGAGGAATGTACCGGCCATTTCTGCACACCCTCACGGGGAATATATATTTAATGGCCGATTTCACCATCGATCCTTAATTTTAAGGGACACCTAAAAAATTGAGGGCTACTTTTGTTTTCACCACCGCTTAAGTGCCACGCTTAAGACTAGGTTTAGGTGTGCAGGAACGTTAGGAATCAAAAGTTGTATATGTATATGTAAATGTACTTTTAATTCCTAATTCTTGCTTCCATAAAAAATAAGTACCTGCAGGACCGAGCTTTGCTCGTTTTTTTTGGTAAATCATGTCTTATGGAAATAAAAAAAATAAAAAATAAAGAAAATTTGGTATAGAAAAAAAAGTAAAAAAATAAGTGTGTAAATGATCGTGATACGAACCACGGCCGTCTGTTTTGCGGCCGCCCGATTACCGACCGAGCTATTATAACATTTTTTTTGCGGCAAAATTTACTGTCATATTCGAATGATATTTTTCATTCGCTGAAAACAGGGATAAAAGGACATTTTCTAAAAATCAAACCTAGCTAGATCAATTTTTCGCCCCCGAATCTACGCACATACTAAATTTCATGAAAATCGCTGGAGCCGTTTCCGAGATTCGTTTAAAGGATAAGAATAGCAATCGAACTGCGGTCATATTATACGTAGCTACTTAAAATAGGAAATCGTAACGGATGTGCACAGACAGTAGGCAATGTTGCCGATATTAGTAACGCTTATTATTATGTCACCGCTATTGTTATAACGTGTTAGTAATAACGTGTTGTAACAATTGAACTTTATTTTTGCGAACATTGTGTGCCAGTTTGTTTTCGATACGCCGATTCGGTGCGGCCGTGAATTCGGCGGTGCGTTGACGTTCATGTAGACAGTGTGACTACCAGCAAGACCACTATCACTGTAGCGTTTCTATAGTTTCGTTTTTGCGAATGAAGCTTTGCACAGTCCCCGAGGCTTGAAGAGAAAACATCAGACAGCAAAGCTAGATACGCAGCCTCATCCCTCGTTAAACGTCGACATCCTGACGTTTTATAGGAGGTGGGAAGTGAGTGGCCTGACGTTAAGTGGTTACCGCCGCCCATCGACATTTGCAACACCTCTGGGGTTGCAGATGCGGTGCCACCTTATAGACTGGGCCCCGGCTACCTCACTCATCAGACGACACGCGAAAGTATAACATTTCCACTTCACGCCGATCTTCTGTTACGTCGTGGTACCCCGTACGGACCAGCCCATTCGTGCCACGGTGAAGACTTTTGCGCGTACCTACCAGCTGACATCTAATACAGTCGTGATTTGTTTTTTACTTTATGCTATGTCTCGATCGGTTTGCTGTATTCATGTATTAAATTGCCCTTCATTGCCCACTTTATCGCCCGATATCAAATAGATAACTGGAAGCTATTACCAACTTTATTATGATTATTTTGTGTGTCCTATCTGTAATAGCTCAAGGTATCAGAAATACTCCTCAACAGCTGTCGCTGTGTGGTTTTCGTTACATTATGTTTCATATATCATTTACCGCTACACCATAAAAAAGATAGGGATAAATATTTAGTTTCATATGAGTATTAAAGAAAACATTGACTACGCCATTTATCAGACGAAGCAATAAAAGTCGTGGTTTATTTTGAGGTTTTTCTGTTTCTAATAACACAGCGCATAAGACTTACATTATTAAAAATAAATGATGTCAGCTTTTGATATTTTGCATTCTTGACTTTTTGGTGTCATCTCCTCATAACTCCATTACAATTTGGAATGTATCTTTTATTTTTTTTACACGCATTAGAGAATATAAAATGGTTTGTATGCAAGCGTTGTATAATAAAAACTTATATTTTATGGGAAATTTTGCTTTATTTTTGCTTAGGGGGAAAATCACAATTATGTTCGTAATAACATTCTGATTAAAATAACGTACATTCTTGTATAAAGTAACATTCTTGAGTCGAAATAATTTTTATTTTTTTTCTTCTTAAAAAAAACATTGCGCTCACTTTAGGATATCATTATCCTGTGTTGTAGTGACATTTTACAAACATAAATTTCACGCAGACAAACACCCAGATGCGAAACAACTATTTGTGGTTCACACAAATAGTTGTCCCGTATGGGAATCGAACCAACGACCCCCGACGCCGAAGCCAATACGTTGGCTACTGCGCCATTGAGTCATCAATTATTAATTAACACCATCGTATTGGATTTACCTCACTCATGGGATCAATTTGCCCTAGCTTCCTGTTCTAGCGAGCTTGGTGCATATGCTCTTTTGAGATGACTTCGGCGCTAGGGCAAGTAAAGTGTATGGATTCAATCTTTTCGTGGTTAGCGTCGTTTCTCGATTTGCTAAACCAATCATCGAGGCGATTGGCGGCGCTTTGAAGGCGATTTTTCATAAATGTAAACTTAGAAAAGCCTCGATAGAACCCCCCTTGCCGCAAAGTATTGGCTTATTTGAATCTGTTTCACAACTCGATATATCTGGGGGCTACAACAGCATCAGTAAAAGATACGTTTTTCTTCCAGTGAATGACTTTGTGAAATCTCGATACAGCGATCCCGGTATCGGATCTTTTATATTTACAAATTAACTTTCGAATAGCGTTTTCGGAAGTGGTTCGATTAAATGTTTATACATTATGCATGCCGTGATAGCTCAGTGTCCGGGCGCTCGCCTTTAGTTCAATATACTCGAGCAAGCTGAGTTCGATCCCCGGTGCCGGCACCAATGAAGTTTTTAACTTTAAGTGCTGTCTTATCACGTGCTCCGCGGTGAAGGAAAACATCGTGAGGAAACCTGCATATTTTCGAAATAATAACAAAAAATATTTCGAAGATATGTGAAGTCCGCCAATCCGCAGTGGGGCCGCGTGGACTATGCCCTGATACCCTCTATATAGAGGAGGCCTTTGCCCAGCAGTGGGACATGTATAGGCTGTTACTTTACTTTTTTTACTTTACATTATGCATTTTAGTCTGCCAACTTTTGCGCAGTCTTTATCGTTCAGAAGAGAAAAATTCCACCAGTGTTTTCTTATCGCCTTTCTTGATTACGTTTCGCATAACACCTCGCCTTGTTATCGATGTTGGCAATTTTTTCGACCCTGAATTGCCTCTTTCTCTTTCTTTTTTTTTTTCGTTATTTCGTACTATTTAAGCTTAATGTTTGCGCCACTTGGGACATATGCCGAACTGTCTTCGAATCTCTTTATTAGCGAACTAGCTGTGCCCACGACTTCGTCCGCATAGAATTTAAAATAAAAAAAATCTAGAATAGAAAAGCCCGAGTTTACTTCTCCTTACTACTCCTTATTTCATCAGCTATCTGCCAGTGAAAGTCCCGTCCAAATTGGTCCAGCCGTTTCAGAGATTACCCGAAACAAACAGACAGATAAACTGACAAAAATTGTAAAAAATGTTATTTTGGTATATGTACCGTGTATTAATCCATATGCATTTAGTAAAAAGCGGTTATTTTAATATTACAAACAGACACTCCAATTTTATTTATCTGTATAGATTTTAGGTCAGTTGAGGGTTCGCCATAGAATTGATTTAATATGTGGAGACGCGTTTGGGTAATGAGGTAAAGAGAACTAGTTCTCTAAGTTAGTAACGTATTTGCAACCACGAGTGTTAGGACGTCCATTGACATCGGTACATACTTTCATCTATCATGAGAATCTTTTATAGTAACAGCGTTAAAGTCCATTGTATCGATTAAACAGCAGTCGAAATACCTAGGTCATTTAATACAGATCTCAATAGCAATAATGAAATTGAAACATACCGAATACGTCAAAAGAAGTACGAAATGCTTTATGAAGTACCACGAAAATTATCACATACGACAATCGGATGAGATTAGCCGATGAAATGATATCACCTTTGACGAGTATTACTGTATATTTTGTTTCTGTACAAATAAATATCTTTATTAGGCTCTTTCTTGAATGAAAACTCAAAAAGAATCTCGAAGGATTTTATATTGTTTTAATACATGATGATTGATCGATTTGTTTTCGTCACGTAATTTATAATGTCCTTAGATTCAATTGGCATTTGTGGTTATCGAACTCAATTTGAATATTCTAGAAAAGAGTTTGTAGTTACAGAATATTAGTCTTTTCTAGGCATTTAATCTGAACCTTACCTGCCAAAACTTGTTAATTTAACGTCTAACATTAAATAAGCAAATTATGCCCGTTATCAATGAAAGTACTGGATGCAAAATTGAAATAATTGAATAATATTTGCCTCTCTCTATGACGCATTTTCGGTCTGTCATACAATGTATATAGCCTTCCATCTGATAAATACTAAAGTATTAAAGAGATTAAATGATAACGCTATGTACATATGATAACTGTATCTATGTTGCCTTGTTCACAAACGGAGTTTTTAGTCTATTTATCTGACTACATCAGAGTCAAAAACGTCATTAGTTTCTAGTTTGCTGTAGAACTTTGAGGCACAAGTATGTTATAAGTTAAGATACCTTAAAGTTTAAACATCATAAACACATAAGTTAAAGCATTGCTATGATTCAGATTTTTTTATTTGTTATTTTCTCATACAAGTTAGTAACCGCGGTAAAAAAGTCCTAAAGCTAATCTGAACTATTGAACACCCCCTTAAACTATCATGGTATACCAATCAAACATTAAATGTTTACGAAAAACCTTACCAATGTACATGTGAATTGACAAACATAATGTCTAAGATCTATTACTACTGGTGTACGCAAAGGTTTAAAATAAAAATAAAAATTGAAATAATTTCCTTTTATATACGAACAGTATGATAACGAACATATTCGCCTGGCACCTAAACCATCTTATAACAATGCAAAAGCATGAATATGCCGACACGACCGAGGAACGACCTTACGGAAGGCAGACCGGTGTAATTAGATATATATACGATTATGTAGTTTCGTCCGTTGAGTGCAAATTACCACAGGAACACAACCGGTTTTTTGTTTGCCAGTTGAAGGCACGTGGTATTCTCGTAGCATCATAACCCTCCTTTGCCACTCACCCAATAAACTCAAGCTGTGAACATTCGCCGCAGACCATCGCTGGGCTTCATATACGAGACTTCGCACAAGGGTGTGACCGTGGAAGACGTGGCCGTTGGTCAGCTGCATCTGCTGTCGGAGGCGGCGGACGCCAGGCGGCTGGGCGCAGCCCTGACGGCGCTCCTGCCCGACCGCTCAGTCTCGCCACAAGGTAGGTATAAATATTCAACTGGTAGGGCCACGTAAAAGCTTTGGCTGTTCCACGAATTGGCAGGCTCGGCCCGGAAATCACAGAAGACTAACGATGGTTCTGCCCGACCGCTCAGTCTCGCCACAAGGTCGGTATAAATACAAACTGGTAGGGCCATGTAAAAGCTTTGGCTGTTTCACGAATTGGCAGGCTCGGCCCGGAAATCACAGAAGACTAACGATGGTTCTGCCCGACCGCTCAGTCTCGCCACAAGGTCGGTATAAATATTCAACTGGTAGGGCCACGTAAAAGCTTTGGCTGTTTCACGAATTGGCAGGCTCGGCCCGGAAATCACAGAAGACTAACGATGGTTCTGCCCGACCGCTCAGTCTCGCCACAAGGTCGGTATAAATATTCAACTGGTAGGGCCCATGTAAAAGCTTTGGCTGTTCCACGAATTGGCAGGCTCGGCCCGGAAATCACAGAAGACTAACGATGTTCTGCCCGACCGCTCAGTCTCGCCACAAGGTCGGTATAAATATTCAACTGGTAGGGCCACGTAAAAGCTTTGGCTGTTTCACGAATTGGCAGGCTCGGCCCGGAAATCACAGAAGACTAACGTTGGTCCTGCCCGAGCGCTCAGTCTCACCACAAGGTCGGTATACAAACTTATTTATTGTGGTAGGGCCACGCAATTGTGTTCGCTGTCGCACGAATGGGCAGGTCCGTCCCACGGTTAAGTACCACGATCTCACGGAAGATTGACCGTAAAGCGGCAGTGTTATACTTCTGCGTTTCGTCTGGTGTGTGAGGTAGCCGGGGCCCATTTTATTAAAAGTTGACAACTATGGGTGTTGCAAGTGTGCTGGCCAGCTCGTTTGCCAGTTTCTCACATAAAAATATTAACTGGAAGGGCAGCAAGATTTTTGTTGTTTCACGAATGGGCAGTAAAATGGAAGTATACTTCCACTTTACACCTGCGAGTCTAGTCTAGTCTTTCTACTAAAAATCACTTTCTCACGTTTGTTGACTCATTCTGCGTTTGCGCGCGACGAAGTCAACCTAGTATAGTATACGTTGTCGGGCGCGCGTTTCTTTTTTTCTCCGCTGAATGGTCTTTTTACCAGTCTGGCTTCTATAAATACGCCTTGAATGGGTTTTGTTAGCAGTGCACCGTCTCTATAGGCGGTCTCAATGTGCTAAATTAATTACACGCCCCGCGAAGTCAAGGGCGGTCGGTAGAGGTCAGTGGATATAGTGAACTGGTCGGTTGAAGCTGCTCGAGCTAAATCAGCGACTTTGCTTAGTGGTGATTTTAGTTTGTACCTACTTGGCGAAACTAAGATACATGACATCATAACGCTTTTATACAAGTTGAGTTTAGTTTATATAAGTTAATCTATACTATGTAGTTTGTTTGTTTGAACGCTTTAATCTCTGACACTACCAGTCAGGATTTGAAAAATTATTTTTGCACTTGATAGCCCAATTCATGAGGAAGGTTGTAGGGTATATTTTAACATCACGCTATGACTTACGGGGGAAGTAGAAACGTAAACGTTAGCAGATCTTAATGTATGAAAACTTAGGGGTCACCCGTCCAGTAGCGGGTGGTCTCTACGAACCATTGTGTACATTCCCTTAAGTGGATCATTATGCAACGGCTAGAAGAATTCCGGGCGCTTGAGAAAACTGCACAAATAAACGTCCACGGTTGACGGGCTCGGGAAACCCAACGCTAGGGTTGGCACGTACGCGGAATGTTTACGATTTATTTTTAGTTATTTAGAGATATAACCAATTTTAAATCGTTTATAAATTAAACTTTTTTACGTTGGCAAATTTTTCCCCCCTCCAATATCAGATTGTATTGCTGTATCCATCACTAGGTGTAGTAATTCTGGTGGCAACTAAATAAACTTTTTCGGTGGAATATAATAAATTTGTTAATGTAATGATGACCTTTTTGATGTTAAGTTCAGATTGCATCTTTTTTATTTGAAACTTATTACAACATTTTTTTTATGAGATTAGTTGACAACCTTAGTGAAATGTATACACCATTCACATGTATGAACATTGTACGTACATATATCTTGCGTGTTCAAATATAAGTCTGTTCGCAAAGATCGATTAATGAAAGCTACTTGTGTAGATTTCTTGGATTCGATACAAAAATCGTTACGATTCTCCATTATGTTCTTTCCAGTTGAACAGTTTTATCTTAGCTACACGAAATGTCTTATATCTCTTTAGTAGATATTAAGAAAGTACTAGTTAGATAACTAAGAAAACAATTATTTAGTTTGAAATAACCGAAATACAGAATATTTATACCAAAAACTTAAAATTATTATTTAGTAATATTTATTGCAATAATGTAAAACATTGACGTAATGGTATCTTTTTATTTGAAGACTGATAATCAAAATCTATTGGACCATATAAAAGCGACCTTCATTCTCTATCATATATGTATGTTTCACACATTGATAGCAGAAGAAAAATTACAAATTAATATTCTTACCTATAGTCTTATTTCAATTGATTATGGTCTTGTTTCTCTTGTTTTATAGTATACTCATGCATTACAAGAGGTTTCATTCGCCATAGATACGATATGAATACTGATGATAGTTCGATGCCGAGTGGATTCGCCAGTAACAAAGTCTAAAATGATAATTTAAAGCGGCGCGGACTTCGTGTCGTCGGCGACTTGTCTTGTTAACCCTCCATCGCAGTACTGTACAAAATAACTCTCAAAGCTGTAGCGAAAACATTAAAATTCCCTTTGAAACGCCACTCACAACTTTTAACTGTCGCAGTCACGAAACGGCGAAGTTTCGATTCAAAAGAGAATGTTTGTTTTTCATTCCGTTTATTTGGCAATATTAATTTTAAAACAGTTGGAACCGGGTCGGACGGAACTTGTGTCTGAATTGGAGATTATATTAAGCAAAAATCGGGAACAATGTAGTTCAATTTTTACTCTAATAGATTTGCACGTCAACTGCTAAAAATACTCTTCGTCGTATCTCATATCTAGTCGTGTACAATTGTGAAGATAAAGGAATTTATCTTCACAGTTTCGATCGGCATTCTTGGTATTAATATCTCCAACGACTTGGAGCGTCGGTCGTGGTCACATACTAACGAAATTCAAATTCGATGCTAATATGCTCTGTCGCAACTGCAATTCAGGACCGATATCAATTAATTAATATGAGGGTTAAACCAGAAATTAATTAGTACGAGACTTACAATATAGCATAGTACCATACTTGTCTTAAATAAATGTTTCTTCACAGAAAAAACAAAAAATTATTGTGAAATATTATAATAAAAACATTATAATATTTTACAATAATTTTTGATTGCAGATTTCAAATTTGTAATAATGTATTTGACGAGAAATGTGAATATTTAACACGCGACACATATGTAATTGACGAGCAATTATCGTTAACTGTCGCTGCATATATAAAACATTAATTCCAGTAACTGGATGACTCCGTAGCGCAGATGTCAAGGTATTGCCTTCGGCGCCCGAGGTCGTGGGTTCGATTCCCACACGGAACAAGTATTAGTGTGACCCACAGGTAATTGTTTCGCATCTGGGTGTTTGTCCACGTGAAATTTATGTTTGTAAAACTTCCTTACAACACAGGATAATGTTATCCGTACAGTAAGGGCATCGATTTTTAAAAAGAAAAAAAAATTCGTCAAAAACTGAGGAGGTTCTCAATTCGACTGTGTTTTTTTTTTATGTTTGTTACCTCATAACTTTCGTCTGAGGGAACCGATTTTGATGATTCTTTTTTTATTTGAAAGCTGGTGCTTCCCATGTGGTCTCATATTAACTTGTGCGGCTCCAGAGATACGTAGGGAACTTCAGGAAATCAATTACAAATTGAATAAAGAACGAGATATTTGAAGTCGGTTTTGTTTTTCTGAGATTAGTTGACAACCTTAGTGAAATGTATACACCATTCACATGTATGAACATTGTACGTACATATATCTTGCGTGTTCAAATATAAGTCTGTTCGCAATTTTGATGATTCTTTTTTTATTTGAAAGCTGGTGCTTCCCATGTGGTCTCATATTAACTTGTGCGGCTCCAGAGATACGTAGGGAACTTCAGGAAATCAATTACAAATTGAATAAAGAACGAGATATTTGAAGTCGGTTTTGTTTTTCTGAGATTAGTTGACAACCTTAGTGAAATGTATACACCATTCACATGTATGAACATTGTACGTACATATATCTTGCGTGTTCAAATATAAGTCTGTTCGCAATTTTGATGATTCTTTTTTTATTTGAAAGCTGGTGCTTCCCATGTGGTCTCATATTAACTTGTGCGGCTCCAGAGATACGTAGGGAACTTCAGGAAATCAATTACAAATTGAATAAAGAACGAGATATTTGAAGTCGGTTTTGTTTTTCTGAGATTAGTTGACAACCTTAGTGAAATGTATACACCATTCACATGTATGAACATTGTACGTACATATATCTTGCGTGTTCAAATATAAGTCTGTTCGCAATTTTGATGATTCTTTTTTTATTTGAAAGCTGGTGCTTCCCATGTGGTCTCATATTAACTTGTGCGGCTCCAGAGATACGTAGGGAACTTCAGGAAATCAATTACAAATTGAATAAAGAACGAGATATTTGAAGTCGGTTTTGTTTTTCTGAGATTAGTTGACAACCTTAGTGAAATGTATACACCATTCACATGTATGAACATTGTACGTACATATATCTTGCGTGTTCAAATATAAGTCTGTTCGCAATTTTGATGATTCTTTTTTTATTTGAAAGCTGGTGCTTCCCATGTGGTCTCATATTAACTTGTGCGGCTCCAGAGATACGTAGGGAACTTCAGGAAATCAATTACAAATTGAATAAAGAACGAGATATTTGAAGTCGGTTTTGTTTTTCTGAGATTAGTTGACAACCTTAGTGAAATGTATACACCATTCACATGTATGAACATTGTACGTACATATATCTTG